AGAGAGAGAGAGAGAGAGAGAGAGAGAGAGAGAGAGAGAGAGAGAGAGAGAGAGAGAGAGAGAGAGAGAGAGAGAGAGAGAGAGAGAGAACACGCACGGGGTGAAACAACGTGATGGGCAGTGGTTAATACAATAGCCGAACACAATAAACGTACAACAGCAGCAATGCCTGTGTAGCAATCTAGCTAGGAATCTTTGTAATATATTGTAAGCACAACTCCATTATTGTTAAAATTTAGTGGTAAATCGAATAAATGTGAATAATAATAATAATGTAATAAAGTGAATAACTGAAGGATTTACTAACCGATTCGTGTGGTGTCATTACCTGAACAGTGAGTGCCATCTTAATATAATATCTTGTACATGTTGTAAGCACGACTGCAGTATCTTCAAAATTTGGTGGGGAATCAAAATAAGCAAAGATTCGAATGATTTAGTAAGTGATTAGTGCGTGAGTTATTTACCGGTACAGTGCGTTCCATTGCCCTCGTAGCCGGGCTTGCACGTGCAGTAGTAGCTGTCTATGGTGTCGTGGCACTCAGAGAATGGATGACACTTGTGCTCATTGCTCCTGCACTCATTCTCATCTGCAACGCACGTGAAGCTACCGTAAACACATGAGTCGCACTACATTTACACGCGAGCGACGAACAACGATACATATATATGCATGACTCCAAGATATAGAACTGTCATTATATATCCTCTGCTGTGTATGACCTCTGCTCATGCACAGGCCATAAACGTAAGGTCAGCATGTTGTCACGTCGCATGGATAACTTACAGAATTACAAATACTGTGACACCAACAACGTCAAATGATGAAGCCAATTTCTACAATTTTACAACATTGCCTTATAAAAAGATTTTATTATTCGTGTTTCTGCATCCTGATCACAGTTCGCTCATGATATCGCATTACAGTTTTAGCACACACAAACACACACCCACGCATGTACTTACATATGCAGACACACCGCATGCACATACTCCCACACATACATACCTTTGCAAGTGAAACCATCTCCCTTGAAGCCTGGGTTACAGATGCAGCTGTAGGTGTTGGGTGGAGCTAGGTCGATGCACTTCGCTTGTGCGTGACAGCGTGCCTCGCCTGACTTGCATTCGTTAGTGGCTGCAAGAAACCATACACAGCAATGATCCTCGTGACGCGGTGTAACAGCAATTCAGTCATGTGTAGCTTCCCCAGGAGTATATAATGAACCTTGTGATAAACCACGTACTCCTTTCTATGAATGATCTGCCATATGTGTCGACATTCCAAAGCCTGCATCCTTCCAATACACAGCTTGGCATTTTAGGGGTAGATGCATGTCTCTCTGAGGATAGCCAGAGGATCAAGGGGGATCAAGTAAATTATTAAACTACCCAGCAAATCTTCAATCAGATTAACAAATTGATCGTGATTACAATCATCAAATTAATCTAATAATAATCAGATTAACTTGATGCCGTGACACTCACAACATGCACCAAGATGTGAGAGATTACAAGAACCTATGCTCAGACAATATGCTATAAATGCCATTAGGTGGCAGCACACTCACATATGCACTGCTCTTGGTTGGTGGCTCCCTCTGTGCGGGTCGTGAACTCCGATGTGGGCGTACACTTGATACAGCTGGTCTGCTCGGCTGCTGGCTGATATTCGCCGACGCGACATAGGACGCAGCGGTTAACCTCGGTATCGAGGTATGAACCGGCAACGCATCGTGCTGCAACGATCATTTACATAATGTATGACATGTTACACGTTGTACGACATGGTTGTACATGGTTAACGACATACAGTGTACAACATGACATACATGGTGTATAACACGTTGATGTGCGGCATGCTATACAGTGTACGATATGTAAGTGCATGAAATATTATGCAGTGTATGGCACGTTACATAGTGTTTGACATGCTGTTCTATATTGTCCCATAATGACAATATTGATTTTGACATGCTATGAAATACTGGTAACGAATAGGCTTCACTAGCAATCAGATTTATTAATTAACGTCTAATTATGGAGGCTCTTGACATAGACGAGTGAGAGCACATTAGATATGGCATATCACCAGTGATATACACTTGACAAGCATTAAGTGATGCATCTATCACAACTAAATCCATTATGCGGGAGAAATTAAAACTAATCTATGCACAACTGTTATCTACAACCAGTAGTAGAGCGCTAAAGAGATGACAGCATCATTGTACTGAGAGTGCAAGGTGATATATATATAACTTACGAACGATGCAGTCTTCCTCGCCCTCTGCTCCCACGCCCTGAGTGGTGCGTGACAATGGACATTCGATACACACAGTGTGCAAGAGGGCATTTCTGTAGCTGCCACGCGGACACGGCGCGCATTGCCCACTAGAGGTCAGCTCAGTGCCCGACGGACACTCCTCTGAAGGTGACAGACAGAGAAAATGAAGTAAGAATCAGTCACAGGCATCTTTCACTGGTTTCTGTACTTTATGATTTACATCATCATTGTCGTGATTTGATATATACATACATATATACATATATATATATATATATATATTCAAATATATGTATATTTGATTCAATTCATATATATACAAATTGAAATATATATTGGCAATCTCTGCTTTGCATAGATGGCAAGGCAGGTGAATTGCCAACAAGCTAGTTTGTAGCAACAATCAAATGAAATACCATGCGCTACGCTATCACTATTATAACGCTAATCATATATAATACCTTGATTCTTTAATAATTAAATGATTTTATACAAATTATTAATCGCTGTAATCGTTAAGGCTCACCGAAGCACTGGCTGCGAGACGTTGCATTCTTCATGTGCGTCGTCATGAACACGGGGCACGGCTCGCACGCGAAGCTGCCCTCTAGTGGCTGATAGAAGCCGAAGCCGCACGGTCGGCAGCGCCCCCCCGTGGTGTCGTAGCTGTAGCCGGCACGACACACCTCCTTGCAGTCGGCTCGCCGCATCGCGCCTGCGCCGCGCGTCGTGCCCGGGTGACCGTTGACGATGGGGCAGGTCGTGCATGCATTCGACGCCTGCTCGTCGCTGTACGTTGCGACGGGGCAGGCAATGCACGCGCGCGTCGCCGCCTCCCAGTACGTTCCCTTGGCGCAGTTCACTGCAAGTAGTAGGAGTTTCGTTTACGATATCATCAAGAGCTAATAATACCTTGATATCATACACAGCTGCTTTCCAATAATTAGATCATATCAGGTCAAAGGTGAGTGGGTCTGGCAGTTTCTCGAAAGTGGTGTGATCCAGGTCTCATTCACTGATCAGGGAACTTTGCCATCATCTAAAGGAATTTTTTCGTGAGGCACGATAGCGTTACGATATTTGACGGAGTGCTACTGAAAATCCTGCGCATATATCTATGTATAAAATTAATTAATTTCGATAAATTAAATTCTAAAAACTAAATGATTTCATGTGAAAAAAAGAAATAAAATGATATCCAATGAGATTACTTCAGGATCTACACATCGATCGTATTTACCGCAGTCTGTGCCGATGAGAACTTGTCCATCGTCGCACATGTAGTCTATGTCGATCTTGAACGTGTCCAGGTCGGGTTCGAGGCCCGGCAGGGTGTCTTGGAAGTCAAACCCGTTTTCGACAAGCACGTCGTTCTCCACGACCTCACGCACGGTCGAGCTGTCTCCCGTCTCCGCGTCGGTCACCGGGTCGCTGTGTGAGAGATGGTGGCAACCATTAATACATACCCAAGTACGATCATCATAATATGTCGACAGATTTCATCGTATTCCTGATCGTGTACAGAATACGTGAAAAAAAAATCCATTCCAAGATGAATTCGCGATATTAATTGGAATGATGGTTTCCACGTGGACGTCACGTACTGCCATGCACGCTACATGTCTGCCACGATAAGCAATTCTGTTGCCATCTAACACATTTACACCACTTGCTATGCCCAGACGTACTCTACCCAGTTGGTAACTAGCCACATGTAGTACCCTCTATATGCAACATCAATCCTCAAACATCATGCATACGAAATTCATAATAAATTCAGCTACTTCTCTTATATAGGTGCATAGGTACTGCTGTACTGTGGCGTTAGCTATTGAAGCAGTCATCGACGGCATACAAGACAGGATACCTGGCTGCAGGGAAGGCCATCTCAATGGTGTAATGGCGGTTAGGGTCAGCCTGTCTCTTGCTGCGCTGTGCACCTTGGCACTGCACTGTGACATCCAGCCCTCCACAATCCCCATTAGATGCAGTCTTGTGACATAGATGCCACCTGTAGATAGTTACTTGCATATGAAAGGGCTCTTAACTATGCACCTCACTGTACACTAAGATTCACGTGGACATCTACGAATTAGCGGATTGAAAATTACATCCGATTAATTTCCTGTTCGTGCCTGGGTACGTACATTGAAGCAGAACATTGCTTACTGTTATTCAACTTCTAACGATATCATCATTACTATAAACAAGAGAACACAAGAACTAGTTAGGAGCTAAAGTGTACTTCGTTATGTAGTAAATCAAAAATAAGCTATATACAAGTAGACCAAAGCATAGAAAATATTGAATGCCCTGTTTTTTGTCTAGACACACCTGCTATGACCAACACGAACCACTGCTAGTTTCACACTATGGGTGAGGAACCACATACGTTCCACTCCACCCTGCACTCACCTGCTGTTAAGTTGCTGCAGGCGTTTCTGCACCTGCTTCTCCAGTTCTTGCATGCCAGCCTCGTTGCACAGGGTAGCTTTTGGGTATTCCACTACAGACCTGAACATCCTCACCCCGGGACTGGAATCTGCAAAATACGTAGAAAGCACGTGTGAGAGTCACATTGTGTCTCTTATGTCACCTATTAACAGTTGTCACCTCTACACAGTACCGCAAGTAGCATTATGTTTCTGTCATCGGCTACTATACTTACAGGAACATGCAGGGAATGTCAGTAGTCCCTCATCCTCCAGCTCTGGCCGCCATACTGCATCTGCGCCGCACACGTAGAAGGTCGGAACGTCGCGCGAAAACTTCAGCGGTGCCTCGCATGCTATGCTGCACTCTCTGTATTTGTAAGCACATCAAACATCAAGCATATGAGAGGCACATCGAACTAATCATGTGCCTTATAAGAAATTATTGCTGATACAGGTGGAATAACACAGTTGGAATACAGGCTGCTCTCATAGGTTGATTGACCTAGATTCAATCATAATAGTACCGAGCAGAACGAGAGCACTAACAACGCGAGGCTTGATTTCTGTATTAACTTGACTGGCAGACAGATCGATAATCCTTGCTGCTTTCTTTTTATATATAGCACAATCATAACAGATATCACCTGTAGGTGGCACTCCATTCACAATATGCTTACAGCTCAGTGTTATCATGAACATACACGTACATTAGTATATATATATATATATATATATATATATATATATATATATATATTGTAACTCGCAAATCAAACGAACAGACACGGTGTTCCGATGCGACGAGGAATGTGTGTGTGCGTGTGAGTGTGCGTGTGCGTGTGTACATACATATGTATATATATAGTATGTTTATTAAGATGGCATTATTAGTATGATATACAGTAATTAATAACATGAATAACAGAAATAACGAATTCCAGCTCCCCATGCCATCCATGTACAACTCACCCTTATCACAGGCTCTGCCAGTAGTGTTGAATGGACATCTACAGAAGAACTCATCCACGCCGTCGATGCAGACTGCGTTGGAAGGACACGAGGCAGGCGTACAGTCATTCATGTTCACCTGAAACCACACATGATGTGCTACCATTATTGATCACGTCTACTCTCTCACAGGTTTTCTACATCTCGTGTACACGAGCTGAAAGTTGGGTAGACAGGCAAGTTTAGCCACAATGTTGGAAGTCACCAGAGTGAGTACAACAATGTTCAACTTCATCAGTTACTTAATTGGTATATATGTGTGCATGCGTTTGTGTGTGTGTGTGTGTGCGTGTGCATGTTCGTGTGTGTGCGTGTGCATGTTCGTGTTTGTGCGTGCTCGTATTCGTGTTCGTGTTCGTGTGCGTGCGTGTGTAAGTGTGTGTGTGTGAAACAATACAATAATATTGTATATGTTTATGCTAACACTCACGTTACAGTTCTGTCCAGTGTAGCCAGCAGCACACGTGCACACGTATCCACTCGGACGATCTTCACACGTGGCACCGTGAAGGCACGGACTCAATTCACAAGTGTTAGCTGCTATCTGACATCCCTCGCCCACGTAACCTGCACCAAGAACACACACACATAGAGCTGCCACATTAACAGACGTTATTATCTTACAATAATTACGAGTTTAATCTATGCTGCATCTACAGAATTTTGACTTCCCACATTCCAAATATATATTTTGTACTCTTCATCACAGAACACTTTTCTCTTACCATATATATGTATGTATGTATGTATGTATGTATGTATATATATAAATATATATATATATATATATATATATTCACAGTATCTCATTCATCATTACGGCACCTGTATTTGTTGCCGGGTCCCCACGACTGGCACGTGCGGGTGCCGCCCTCTGGTCCCGATGGCAGTGTCGCGCAGACATCCTTCAGTACATAGATCTTGAACATGCAGACGGCCATGTTGTTGGACGTATCGCGAGCGATGTACGACACGGTGTGCTCGCCCCACATGAACTGCATGCCTGCACGGTGGAGACACGCACTGTTAGTTATCGCCTGCTGCCGGCTGACAGTTATTACATGCCGCACAGTTATAAACGAATGACAAAAATAAAACAAGCTGCACAGTGTTGTGTGTTCCTCCCCTTCAAAAAAGAATGAAGTCGATTCAAAGGTGCATGAAGAAAATGAAAATTGAAAGTAAATTCAATTAATAAATCATAGTGAAGTCATAGTATTCGACCAGGTCACCTTCCGTTTCAGCAGAGGTCATATATAGGCATGGTAATATCTATTGGCCATCAGTATAGGAGCGCATACCTGAAGCGTGTGATGACTCGATGCCGTTAGCAGCTATCCCGACGTTGTCCACAAACCTGGGTTCCGTCCAGGTTACCTTCACCTGTTTCTTGTCACCAGCTAGCATGACGATGTCCTCGGGGCAGTAGACAACCGTAGGCGGAATCTTGTCTACAAGGAACGAAACACCACTCATGTAACTGATCAGTCGATCGGTTGATACTTTCTATAACGATTTACAATTAGCTAACAGTTCCAATGTATGTTGATGATCACTTCCATCTGGCCTGGGCCTATTACCATCTTTGCTCAGGCCTGATGAACACTTCCTGACATTTTCTGTAACACTTTATACATGACATTAAGACAATCAGTGCGTTCACGTGAGATAGTTACTCGCAAATTTTAAAGTGAGTTAGAATGAACACAAAGAAACATATATGTATAGCTTTAAAAGTGTTCTACTGCTTTAGAAAAAATTTTACCCAAAAAGTCGCAAGCTATACAAACGAGGATATACGAGGATGCGATGCATCATAGAACCATGTCTGCTTTATCTGCATCTCAGGTTAGTCTCCACAATTCCTCTTTACAGACCAGTTTTATGTCTCAACGTGTATTATTTTAATATATAGTAAGTTTCATCTTAGTGACCACACTATACGTACAGTCACACTCTGCGCTTCACATCTACAAACGCCCACCAATCACCAGGTTTCAACACCTCAACATCTTGCGCCGACACGGCGATTGCCCCACCCGCTCGCACTTACCTGATACGGGCACATCGCACCGGTCTCCCTGGAACTCGGGATCGCAAATGCGCTGGCCACACGTGGTCGGCGTGGAGACCTCGACGTGTCCGCGCATGTCGTTGTAGCCGGCCCAGCGAAGCACGAGGCCGCGGAAGTTCACCGGTGCTGCCATGCAGCTTCTCACCTGTCAGTAACGAGCGAGCACGTCATGACCGCTCATCTACGATTACACCACTAACGCTGTCTACAGTCAACCCTGTACGCAAGCGACAGCTAAGGGAAAGCCAGAAATTGGCGTCCTGTATCGACTGGTTTCCGTTTTATAGAGACGTCGCTTGCCATATAAATGTGATAAATGTTATTTTGTTGATATTACTACTGCCAATTGCATCTCGATGTATACTTGGTGTACAAACACAAACTTATCACACAGGCGGCTGGATTTCAGGACCAGTTCTAGGAAGACAAGCGACAAGCATGTTGAGAGGTAGGAGAAAGAGCAAAAACGGACTGTTCACTTAGCAACTATATTTATCGTTACTGTAACCGTAACTGTACAGTGTCAACAAAAATGTAACGGTAACTGTCACTTGTGAATCTAGGGTATCTATACCTGAGCAGGCATTTCCTCAGTGAAGCTAAGAACACGGTTCCACACGTTGACACGGCTGAGGTAACCTCTGAACCCGCGGCCTGGTACGGCCATGCCCGTGTGCGCGTCCACACGGCTACCCAGCGTCGTCCACACACTGCAAGTCACGAACATATGAGTGACGGCAGGTATAATACAGAATATAATACACAACTCTACACACGTCTAAAGTATTGAACTTGAATCAATTGAAAAACTGGCCAATGTTGCAATTTTGTCTTCAATAGGGTGATTAATACGGCTTTTCCATGAGAATTTGCACCATTTATTTTACATAGAATAGGCTTGGTAATACCTCATAGGTAAGGTCAGTCCCTGTCCGTAGCCGGTGCCGCTGGCCTCCGGAATGCGCACCCCATGCCAGATGAGAGCATAGGCACCAGTGTCTGAACTCCATGTAAAGGCAAGATGGTGCCATTTACCTGCAAGATTTACCGAGCAAAACTTTAACCCGCTCTTACTCTTGTGTGAGCAATGAACAGATCTCCTGCATGAGCCTTTTCTAATGCCTATTCATTTTTAAACAGTTTGACATCATTCCGGAATTAAACGGATTTGGATTTTTTGGTGAATGACGATGTATGTACGAGGGATCTAAACTAATCAAGCCAATTCGTGTGACATGACTAGGGTGATGGCCACGGACGGTTACGATTAGAGTTATGGCTACGGTTATGGATTACGATTAGGGTTAGGGGGTGATGTGCGGAGTATGAAGTATGTATATGATGGCAGCAGATCGGTGGCAGGAGAGCTTACCGTCGTTGACGGGTCGATTGTCTCCGTACTTGAGCAGCATTGTCGTGTCCTTGAACACGGTCACGTGAACGCCCTCACTGTCAAACCGCAGCATCTGCCTCAGACCCGCAGCCTTCGTGACGGACCTACGCATAACGAACGGACACACGCGAGGTGTCATAACACAGATGTCATTACAGAATGTATCCGATTTATAGTCTTTCGCATGCGTCATTATGTCGTAGACAGTCTGCTAAGCCTATAAGTAACTAACTTGAATTAATCTTGAAATAAGATCATTATAGGATCTTTCTCTAAACATATCTAGTTACAGACGTTCCCTTGTTAACTCAACGGGGTGACAGATAATCGCGAGGACCTTATAGTATGACACAGGTGTTGGTGGGTGCACTGCAGGGCTACAGTGCAGGGGTTCTCTGGCAACACTCTGAGTCAGTCATAGCCAAGAAGATCGCACGAGAACATACTTAAAATATGATAATATTTATTAACAATGTATATTGTATATGTGTGAGTCTCACACAAATCTAATCTACGAATCTAAGAAGAAGGGTAAATGAACTTACTTTGACTGGAACATTGTGAAGAACGTTCCTCGCTCGGCATCTGTAGTGAAGCGCACCCACATGGCGACGGTGAGCCCGGGAGAACCTAGCGGCACAGGGTAGGGCAGCGAGGCACTCGCGTTTTTGTACTCCCCGCTGAACTTCAGGTCATAGGCAACATTAATTTCTGAAAAACGAAACACAATGTGTGCGAATGTGACACATACCATTGTATATGAATCAGTTGGCAACAAAATGTTTGGTTTTCATATATACATACATATATATATATATAGATATAAATATATATATATATAGATATAAATATTATAATATAAAATATATATGTTATATCTGTGTGTGGCGCGGTGTGTGCGTGTGTTGCATGTGTAGTGTCGTGTGAGTTTGCGGTGCGTGTTACATACATATGTATAATAATAGTAGTTTATTAAGATGGATTATTAGTATGATTACAGGAATTAATAACATGAATAACAGAAATAGAAATTCCAGTTCCCCATGGCACTCACTGGTACAGACCACCCTTAATCACGGCTCTGGCATAGTGTCTGATGGACATCTTACAGAAAAGAACTCATCCACGCCTCGATGCAGACTGGTTGAGAAGGACACGAAGCGCAGCGTAACAGTCATTCATGTTACCTGAAACCACAACGATGATGTCTCCATATTTGATCACGGTCTACTCTCTCAACAGGTTTCTAGCATCTCGCTGTACACGAGCTTGAAGTTGGCTGTAGACAGGCAGTTTAGTCCACAATGTTGGAAGTCACACAGAGTGATACAACAATTTCAACTTCATCAGTTACTTAATTGGTAATATGTGTGGCATGCGTTTGTGTGTGGTGTGGTGCGTGTGCATGTTCGTGTTCGTGCGTGTGCAGTTCGTGTTTGTGCGTGCTGTATTCGTGTTCGGTTCGTGTGCGTTGCGGGTGTAAGTGTGTGCTGTTAACAAATACATATATTGGTATATGTTTTAGCTAACCTCAACGTTACAGTTTGTCCAGTGTAGCCCGCAGCACACGTGCACACGTATCCACTGCGCGATGTTCACACGTGGCACGGTGAAGCACGACTTCAATTCACAAGTGTTAGCTGCTATCTGACATCCTCGCCACGAACCTGCCAGCAAGAACAACACAAATAGGCTGCAAATTAGAAGTTATTATCTTTACAAATAATTACGTTTATCTATGCATGCTCTACAGAAATTTGACTTCCCACATTCAAATATATATTTGGTACTCTTCATCACAGAACACTTTCTCTTACATGATATTGATATGAGTAATGTATGTTATGAATATATATGTATGTATGTATGTATGTATGTATGTATATATATAAATAATATATTAGAATTTTATATATAGAAGCTGCAGAAAATTATCAATGTCGAGGTCAGAGCATAGGAAAGCTCCTAAAAACGTCATCGATTCCTTCTCTTTCTCTTTCCCATCTTCCTCATATCTCCCTCCCTCTCTTTCTCTCCCTCCTTATCGCCTTCTGTCATTCTCTCTCTCTCTCTGAACTGGCGCCTTCATGTTTGTTACCTCGGGGACAGCTACACGAGACGTCGGTGCCTGTAGACACACACATGCCACCGTTGACACACGGGTTCCCTATGCATCGGTCTGACGTCGTATTGCAGTTCTTGCCGTCGGAGCCACCAAGACACCTGTGCACACATCACACCAAACTAACCTGTATTACTCCACGCTTGCATCGAACTCTCAGTAGTAATACACTCAAACTTGAATATAAGAGCCACTCATAAGAAACTCCACGCCTCCTATATAGGCAGGTCTACATGGCTGGTTTCACTGTGTACCCCCACATGTACATCATAGTGAATCACAGAGAAACCCTAGCTCTACCTGTGTAGCCCTTCGCTCCTGCTACAGCGTCCCTGTCATGGAAGTGAAGAGCTACACAGGTAGAACTAGGAAAACACCAAAAGTATGCTTCATAGACATGTGTTCTGTCGGGGCAACTGCTAACACAGATTTGACTGTACTTGCTATTTAAACAAATTATCGTTGGAAATATTAAAAAAGTCGGTATTTGCAGCAAAAGCAACAAACCAACGAGAAGCAAATAGCCATGCGGCAATAAACCTATGCCTGAAGACCACGTGAAAATTCCGGCGTGATTTTTTTCAACGAATTGAAATTCCCTAAACAAAGCAAGACCACAGTGCCTGAACTACACCAAACTCAGCGCATGGCCGAGCAATGCAATGCCACTCGACGTAAGCGAGGCGACCGTACCCGCAGAAGTAGTCGCCGAACACTGGTATGCAGGACGCGTTGTTCTGGCACGGTGTCGATACACAGAAGTCGATCGGTGTATCACATCTCAGACCCTCCCATCCTGGCTGACACTCACACTCAAACCCGCCCACCAGATCTATGCAGTTACCGCCGTTGGCGCAAGCGCCGATGAAGCAGTCGTCAATTTGCACCTGAAGTATGGGTGAAGACATTAAACATTAACTGTGTGAAAGACGTGGCACAGATGCAGTAGGTAGCGAATTTCTTCTAACCTTATTACAATCTTCCATTTATTGTGCATATAATCGAGGTTATAGCACTGACATGCAGTTAGCATTTGTCAAGGTTCCTCTGAGTTTCTAAAAAGTTAATAGTGAGAAGAGTGATAAAGGAAAAAACAGTGAGGAAAGAGAGATCGAGAGAGAGAGAGTAAGTGAGACATACCTCACAGAATTTGCCAGTGAATCCATCATAGCATTCACATTTAAAGTCATGGATCATGTCAATGCAAGACATCGTTCCCTCGGCACAACCAGCATTGCCACAGTTATCTATGTTGTGGCAATCCGCACCTGAAATCATGTGATAAAGTAATGACGAATAATCAATTTACCTGTCCATTCGCATGAGATCACCACACCCCTTGGGAATTGTTGCTACATCAGTCAAGCAGGACCAGTTTGTACGTGTATTTTAAGTGTGCTCGCAGAATTTTCAACCTTTGTGGCATTTTCTTACCAAGTATTGTCTTTAGGATGCCTTATTACAATGCTGATTGGCTAAAGCTTCCTGTCAATCACTCAAATTGGATATGTTAATTGATTATATTAGCATCAAGATATGAGAACAAATAACTGCAATGTAATTGCTACCTTTTAAAATGGAACATCTTTTGGATTTCATCTAATTGGATCTACTCACGCTATACTACTACATGAAGTTACTAGTCTGAACAAAACATAAATATGTAAAGATAATATGTATTAATACGCACACATATAAGCAATGAACAAACGCTTTTGGTTCCTGCTCCCACAAAACATATGAAACCTAGCATTATACCAGATATATCACATACAGGATCAGGGGGGAGATAAGGACATAATTATAATAAGTCAAGTATAATAACTTAGAAAGTATAATATTTTCCTATTCCATCAGACATACCTGTAAAACCAGGCAGACACCTGCACTCAAATCTATCCACAAGATCAAAACATTTTGTATTGTTGAAGGTCAGACAAGGGGCAATCTCACACTCATCTATGTTGTGCTGGCAATTTCTTCCTGTGAATCCTGGTGGACAGGTACATGTGTACCTGCAGTAATACACAACATCACGTAACCATGGAAAAAGAGAAACTGGATAACGAATTAACAGATAATAAACAAAGGCAATGTCACCAGCATTTCTACTAAAATAATGAACTGTGCTTTTACCATAACTACGAACTATGTTTTAATACAACCACGATCATATCTACACAATAGCAAATATTATGTGTAATATACAATGTACAGATGCTACGACATATTTTATATCACTCGTTTATGACTTACCCCTCCATGGTGTTGCTACAGATTCCTTCGTTGGTGCAAGGAGCACCAGCGCAGTTATCCACGTTCTCCTCGCATGTCTCACCTGTGAAAAAGACAAAAACACAAGGTCGTTATTGTTTCTTGTGTATACACGCGCACAAAACGAGTTAGTTTTTCCATATGTATACGCACAACAAAGGCATATTGACGCAGCAATCGTTTCTAGGGTAAAGCCTGCTAGCATCAGCACGGGGGGGGGGGAGATGCAGCTCACCTGTGAATCCAGGCTCACAGATACAGGACGTGTTGTAGAGATTGTCGACGCACACTCCGCCGTGTGCGCACGGGTTCGGTTCACACAGACGCTGCTTCACCTCGCAACGCTTGCCGGTGAAGCCGTGCGGGCAGTCACAGTGGAAGTCTCTGAACAGATCCGTGCAGCTAGCATTGAGCAGGCAGGGATGCTCCCCACAGTCGTCTGTAACAATAGTACACTTGTAGGCGGTGTCATCAATGAGGCACACACAGATATCCTATACTACACGTATCACGTGTCATCGTCCGATATCCTATAACAATGGTGATCAATCCACACAAAATCCCTCTTTGTAAGAACTTGTGGTTAAACTAGTATCGCATTTACATGTTTTAAAGCTTAACCAGAGTGTTGATAGTAACCAAGACTGTATGTGTAATACATATATATATATATATTAGCAGGAGTGTATAATAGAGATATCTATATTACACACTCCTGATACTATATATCTATGGAGATCCACTATTTAATACATATTAGCATCGTCAGTATAGGAATATAACAACAGCATGAACCAGTATCATAAAACCTTCATTGTCATTGTCAATGTCTTCAGCATCAGCAGTATCAGTACTCACCGATACATATTTTAATCGTGTTCTTATCTGTATACTACTGACATAACTGACCCTAACTCTTCTAGCCATGAAACTTTATTATTATTAAATCTTACTTTGTATGTAATTAACATTAATGTATGTAATAAAAACATAATTAGGGTAATGTAAAACCTTTGTAAAATTTATGTTAATTTAAAAGTTTAATGACTAACAACGACCAGCATCATGGGTGTCAACATACCGATCTCAGTCTCGCAGTTGCTGCCGGTCCATCCCAGAGGGCACTGACACATGTAGCGGCTGAGTGGTAGGGTGACACACTGACCGGCGTTTCTGCACACGGGCGGCACGCTGTCACACGGGTCGATCGTCTCGTTACAGCTGCAACACGCACCGCACATCCACTCAGACTCCAAGAATCGCCGCGAAGCCTCACAATGCCTCGCCACTTTTATCGTTGTTACGCAATTACACTGACCGCGCCACGATCGTGAGGTTATTGAAGCTTCTCTCCAATGACATCACGATCGGTGCACGGAAATCAAAAAACTCCGAGTCGTAAAAAACTCAGAGTCTGATCTGCACCAGGTATATAAATTACTTAACTACACAACCTACATTACACAAAGTACTACGATTGCCAAACTCTACAGAACTTTTCTCTCAGTTCGCTCGAAATGGGAATAAGAGCGACTGAGAGAGAGTATGGTAGAGTGTGGTATAGAAGGTATAGTAGAGTGTGGTAGTGTAGTATGGAGTGTATAGTAGAAAGTGTGGTAAAATGTGGTAGAGATAGTGTGGTAGAGCTGTAGAGTGTGGCACATGGACAATGGACTAAAATAATTAAGGGACGTATCCAAATCAATAATGCAAGTAGTTAGTGAACTTCGCTTTAACGCTTACAAAGTTCCCTTGAAGCCTGATCTACACAGGCAGTTATACTGGTCGACTCCATCCTGACACATGCTGGCAAACGGACATGGTGCACTCGCACACTCATTCGGCTCGACCTCGCAGTTCCTGCCACTGAATCCTAGAACGAGAGATATGTGCCGCGTTATAACCAATGCCATGGAATGATGAAACGTTCCGCGGCAAGAACAAACGCTAGCTATTTGTTGCGTTTTAGAAGATCTTGCCGTTTTCTTAATGCAGAACGACAGTTCGCAAAAAACAAAAAACAAAAAACAATTGTTCGAAGTGGTGATATAAATTTAAATTTACTAAATTAAAAATCAAACAAAGGCCTACATGCAATTAGGCAAGTAACAATTGACGATCAGGAGTAAGCCCATGTTTATGATGTATTCCGTATAATACACTAATATAACCATGCGACCTCTTTTATGGAACCAGTTCTACCATACACACACGCACCTGCAAACACACGCATGCATGCACGCACCCACGCGTACGCACGCACGCACGCACGCACGCACGCACACACACACACGTGCGCGTGTGCCCCCTCACACACACTCCGGTGTAGGTCTTACCATCCGGACATCTGCACAGATATCCAATCTCTAGGTCCGCACAGACGCCGTTGTTCAAACATGGAGACGCCTCACACTCGTCAATGTTCGTTGTACAGGTGGAGCCACTGAAGCCACGCTTGCACACGCAGCGAGGGCCATGGTCGAATGCTGCGCAGATTCCCGCGTTCTGGCACACGTTCGTGCAGTCGACTGATAAAGGGGAATGCATTATATTATCGCAGATGCGAATCGGAGCACATTGCAAAGTTTAGAGGCTTTTATGTTGTACGTATATGCATTCAATCCTGTGTTAGTCGTCACCTCCACAAAAGAAACACTATGATTGTTTTGTCATTTCTTTTAAGTGGATCTTATATGCAGGTTAAACTGTATAGGTTAAAAAATAAAATAAACACGATGATTACCTATGGACATACATATATTGATTGTTATATTGCCACCTAAATTTAAAATATACCTAAATGCCACACAGTAGAAACAGTACATGATTACAATACAGAAAACAACACATCCATGCAAATGAACCTGGGGCGTCAAAAACATTTCAATTGTAAAACTAGTTTTAAGTTAAGTTTAAGTCTTAGTTTAAACCTTTCTCCTGCATTACAATCGTAGCCATCACCAATGTAGAGCTTGGATGTGTTTTTGACAGTGCGTCCCCCCACCCCCCGAGCCCTGAGGTATTCAGCACGATCTCGTGCGTTTATCCCTCTCTATCTCTTCCACTCTCTCCCTACCTACCCCCCTTCTCTCTTGCCTTTATTTTTTTTTTCTCTCTCTGTCTCTCCCTCTGTCTCTCTATGTGCCCCTCTCTCTCCTTCTCTCGGACCCGCTCACTGTTGCTCCCTCTCACCCTCTCCCGTATGTTTTATGCTCATTTTATGCTTTACACATGCATACCTTCTATGCATCCGCGGATGCTATCGGCGCCCGCATCGCCGGACGTGGTCAGCTGGGCTGGACACTCGGTGCACTCTGCCGACCCCTCCACGTCCGTGTAGTAGTTCTTCGTACACGGCTTGCATGGCTGCAGTCCCGTGAGAGAGAACTGTCCTTTGGGACAAGGCTCTGCAAAGACGAAAGCGAAGCATCAGCAAACTGCACTGGCATATGAGAAGAAAGGTAGATATATATATATATACATGAGGATAAAATTTATTCTCGTCGCACACGTTGTTAAACATGTTAATACACGTTTAGAAAACGACGCAAGAGGGGACGTGTCACATTAGCGATGACTTCTCGTGTGATCTCTTCTAAAAATCAACAACGATCTAATCATTCACTCGCACAAAACAGCACTGGTTCGCCGTGTATATCGCTGAATAACTGTCTCTTAATTATTAGTGGCATAATTTAAGTGAAACCTACACCGGCTTATCATAACAGGGTCATACCTTTGCAGTCTTCAACTTCAATGCTGCCTCTGTCAACGTTGTACAAGCCGGGGGGACACACAGTGCAGAACCTGCTACCACCGACTCCAGGTACACCGGCGTATGTATTGGGCCGACACTGCTCGCATGGAACGATGCCAGTGAGAGAGAACGTACCAGCAGGACAGGTTTCTGAAACGGCAGTAATGCTCAATATTTTATAAGTGAGATTGCAATATCACGACAGTGATACTAGAACACGTTTAAACATCTATGGTACGGCATAGCATCAAAGTAACTCTAAGTATCAGGATACTACACTGACAGAAATAAAACTGTGAACTGTGAACTTGATTAGGACATAGCATAATAGCAGGGATTAATAACGACAAATTTGTCATCAATAATGTAATAATTTTTCATTATTAACCCCTGATAATAAAAATCTTTTCGACACTCTGTACTCACGTATGCACTCTGACACACTTGTCGTCTGCACGGTCCTAGTGTAGGTGTTGACAGGGCAGGGGATGCACTGAGTGGCACCAGGGGCAGACATGAACGTCCCTAGAGGGCAGGGGTTGCAGTCGCCCTCACTAGTCTGGTACGTTCCTGCAGGACACATGACTGAAACAAATGCGACACCATGTGTTTAGTCGATACGTACGGAAGCAAGCACAACTTTTTTCAGCTACTCCTTTTTATTCGTTTCACCTAAGTCACGCACTAGCTCCTGACTGCGTTTTTTTGCCACTCAATTTTAACCAAGACAGCAATAGCAACCAACTGCAAGAACTAACCGCTGAGGGCAAACAGAAGCCGAAAATCAAACGACTTCAGAAATTAAACATCACAAAAAACCCGACAGACGTTTATTTCACGGTCATCCCTTGCTCACATTCAGCATTGCACTAAGATGAAGTAAGACCTGAAGATGCAACCCTGAACCTCAAAGCATGGATCCAGGTGAACAGATTACATAGTCTACAAGAAGTAGAACAGAATACATTCTAGTGGTGCATCTATTCGGCACTAGTGACGACGGCATTGCTACGTACGACAGGTAGGTGACTGCGGCGAGCCCTGCAGGATGTGTCCGGGGGCGCAGGAGTAGCCGATGCGGTTGACCGCCCGGTTACTGACCATATCCGGACACCCGCTCGCGGTCACGTTCAGCAGCGGGTAGACGGGGAATGCTCTTATGTTGAAGATCGTCCGCAAGGTGTCGCCGCAGAACTCGAGCAGCGCGACCATGTGGCTGTCGGCGGTGATCCGCATCACGTAATCGATGATCACTTGCTGCGATAAAAATCCGAAATAGTAAAATATCCGAAATAACCAACACGTAAACGGAACGCAATCGATTTGTATAACGATTCATTTGACCAATAGTTACTTGGCATGACTGACAGGCAGGTCTAATCAATCAGCATTGCGATATGACGTTCGAAATCTGTAACCAAATGTTGGAGATGCCATTTTTTACCAGATAGAACCTACGTAAACGATGTAATAAAGGCAATGCTTAGCAAAAGACTGCTGCAAAGTAGACATTTTGGCGTGCAGACGTGTGAAACAAAATGCACGCACTGGGTGAGCTTGGATAACATGAAAAGGGGCGTGGTAATCTCGCAGAAACAGATTAATTCTACTAAGATTCTTCATTAATTGGCACTCGAGAGTGTCTGTACTTCTTTAAATCGTTACATGAATGCTAAGTTGCGACAGCATATGTGAGGAGGCGTGGTGTTCACGTACCAGGCCGTCGGGGGCGACCTCGACGCGTGTGTCCAGGAATCGGACGCTGACCGTCGGTCCGAGCGTGCAGCGCTGCGAGAACTGTCGCTGGATCGTCGGCAGGCTCGCGCGCAGGTTCTCGACGTACTGTCCGACGCAGTCGAGCGTGACGGCCGAGGTCGGCGTGTACGCGAGCGTCGTCGTCATCTCGTAGGCGGCCGCTGGCAGCGAGGCGTCGACGCACGCCGGCGCGATGCCGCCGGGCTGCCAGCCGCTCGCGTCGAAGCACGTGTACTGCCGCAGCGGCGCGTCGTCGACGAACCTGCGAAGTGTTGACGATGATTCGACGTGTTCGCAATGCGGTGCGGTGTCGCTTGGCGTGGTGTGGTGCGGTGTGGCGTAGCGTGGTGTGGTGTGGTGTGGCGTGGCGTGGTGTGGTGTGGTGTAGTGTAGCGTGGTGTGGTGTGGTGTGGTGGTCTGGTCTGGCGTTGTGTGGGGAGGTGTGTGGTGTGGTGGCATTGTGTGGTGTGACGTGGTGTGTGGCGGGGCATGGCGTGGTGTGGTGTGGTGGGGTTTGTAGTGTAATGTAGCATGGTGTGGAGTGGTGTGTGGAGTAATGTAGCATGGTGTGGGGTGGTGTGTGGTGTGATGAGGAACGGTGTGACGTGGCATAATGTGGCGTAAGGTGGTTTGTGGTGTGATATAGCATGGTGTGGTGTTATGTGGCATGGGTCTAGTGTTGTGTTGTGTCATGTTGTATTGTATCATGCCGTGTAAATGTAAATGTCACGTAACATAACGTAATCTAGTGCAAATGTTACACTCAATTAAGTTAATACAGTCAAATGTTACAGTCGATGTAATGTGCTTACCGGAAGCCTGGGTCGCATGTGACGTTACACAGTAGTCCAACACCACCCCTGCCAGTCTGCTGGGAACACCTCCTCTCCCCATTAACTGGAGTCACTAGCGACCATTCCGTGCAAGGAGCAGCTGTGTAACAAAATGAGAGAAATGTGTAACAAACAGACATAAACCATATAACACATACACAGAAAACATATTTTGCAATTTTTAAGATACTTCGTGATGCATTGGATGATCCACAAATTTAGAAAGTAATAGACTGAAAAAATAGTGCATAACAGCCTTCCAAACTACCTCATTCGACATAAAGTAGTGCATCCTCTAAGCCACAAGATACAATAACTTGCATAACTAATGCCTATACCACGTATAAATTAAGTAGTGTTAATATGTTACAAAAAATTTAATGTTTGAACTGATGATGAGGAAGTGAATGTGTGATTGCCACAGCTCTGTTAGTGCTGGTTCTTATAATTTCACACCTACAAAAGATCTCTCGATCTACAAGGGAAATTATGGAATAACACACCTTCGACAGATACTTGGTACCTGCAGCTATCGCTGTTGCCTACTGCATCTACTACCTCAACAGTCACATCAACAACTCCGTTCAACGGAATCTCAACAGAATCGGGCTCAAAGTTGATCAGGATTTCGCCTATAAGGTTGGGTGGAAATTGTTAGTGTCTAAAACTATACATGAAATAATTAAATGTCAGGATAAATATAAAATATTTATCGGTCATCGAAATTGTTGCTTCAGTAAACTATCTGAATTCACCTCGAAATTAAATGTTTTTATATACATATCATGATTTACATTCAACTTTTATAGCAAGGATTTCATTTGCGATTGATCATTATTGCAAGATATAGTGCATTGCGGTTGGTGTAGTGCATGTCACATGCGATGGAATACACCTCATCACTCACCTGAAGCATCGAATGCTTCAACGTAATCGTTTGTGAAGTTGAGAGTGTAGGCATCAGCTTGCAGGGTGACATGGCGCACGCCTCCCTCCGGGCACTCCTTGATCACTGGCGCTGTCTGATCTGTAACAAGCGGCAACCTTGTTCACAGACACGCACGCCACCACTACTCACATCTACCCCGGATGTAAACACCCACAACTCATGCACGTGTGCTCAGGAGTCACACACCAATAGTTGCCGTACTCTCAACGCCTATAGCTTGATGCACAGTCTGGAGTGTATATTTGCAATCGCAATGTGAGAAATCTACGTTCCTCACAACACATTATCATGTTCCCTACCTGAATGACTTCGGTGTTCTTCACCAAATCAATCAATTAAATACGTCGTCCCGCGTCTCTGGGGCGACCTCGTGTCAGCTCATTGCACTACCTACTGGTCTACTGCCGACGATGCTAAGCTGATCATGTCACACGTACCTCGGACCCTGATCGAGACGACACACGTGTCGTAGTTGCCGGCTGCATCGTAGGCGATGTACGTTATGTCGAGCGGCTCGCGCACCATCCGCGGAGGCATGAAGAGCGGAGGTACGATCTCATACCTGACTATTTTACCTGCAAGTGCACACATCACACCTTTATACCAGCACTCGATCCTACCACCGTATCAATGTGAATGCACGGGTCGGTTTATTTTATTTTTTGGGGTAAGGTAAGCGATGCTTTCACTTTAATCAGACATTTTGAGGCACTATGACAAGTTGGAGATATAAAAACAAACACTTCATTGAAAGGATGAGTGCAGACTCCCTTAGCAGCTTTCCCCCAAGTTTTTCTGCCATATTCCTGTGGGATAGAGTCTCACTCGACTACCGTGCCTGGGAAACTAAACGTCTATACAACATCTAAGTGGTTGTGCAATCAATGAATATTATTTCGCAGAGCTGTGTACTCCCAAAATATCTACGTGACATCAGAAATGAATAAAAACACATTTGTTTTTATTTACTCCTGGTGACATCTATACTAAACATCTATACCAGACAGTGGGGAACTACTGCTACGTGCAATACCATGAGGGGTACTTGTACATGTGTACTATCTGTACAATACTCTATGAATCTAAACATCTATGCAATTGTCAAATACACATCTGTTTCTTGCACTGATGACTACGCACAATAGCACTGTCCTGAATCCTAGTCTACAGCCCAGACACCCTGCAGCATTCAACTTCTCACATCTGCCCCCATGTTGCACTCACCCGAATTGTCCTCGGCAACGGGAACATTGTAGTCGACCATTCGAGGTCCGCTCAGCGTGTCGTTAATGAGGATCGGCTGCAGCGGACAGTTAACGAACCGTGGGCCCTGCACATCTGTAATGATCGACGAGCAGACGTTACCATATGTTACCAATGTTATGAACGAATACGTTACATGAGAGAACAGAGTATACATATGGTATCCCTATTCTACTTCTACTTCTATATAATAATACTGGACAGTCGTTATTACTATTACTATTCATTTACTATGTGTGCCGTGACGTACAAAAGGTGAGAGCAAGCATCCAAGTGCTACTGACACTAAATATGTGAGAGGCAGAAGAATATTACAGGAGTCACAAAACTATTCGTGTATTTTAATTTTACAGTTTATCATCATTGCTAGAGAACTTGTTGTAAACCGAGAATTCGTTAACGAAGCATTGATCATAAAATTACGAACATCGTGCAAGGTATGCTCTAATCTGCAGATAGCAGATTGGAAATGACGGTCGTGCTAATATGCAATTTAATAATCACATCGACGCTCTGCACTATATATATATGCTCACTTTAGCAGAAGGGTAGGAGGTAACGGAGGATGATTTTTATTTCGCAAAGCAGAGTTAAGGACAACAGATAACGTTCACGCACCGATGCACATGGGAGTCGACGCGTTCCAGCCGACGGCAGCCGTCTCTCGAGTGGCGCACCCTAGCAGACCGATCTTGGCGCACTTGTTGTCGAGATTGTCGAGTATCTGTATCTGCACATGTCGCGCGACAATCGGCTCGACGAGCGGGAACGTGCGCAGGCTGCCGTACTGGTCCTCCGAGTTGTCGTTAAACAGCTGCCATGGCAACCATAGCGGAGAGATGATGTTAACAAGACCGTATGACGCAGGAACTCGTTACAAATAACTATATGATTATATTATTAATTTATATTATAATATTAATACTAATATTAAAACTTATGATAAATACCATGACTGTAAACAATATAAGACAATCATAAGATAATAGATAAATGAATAATAGAGAGAAGGTATGATGCACACATGAGCGAGCCATTACTAAGCAACTGCAGTATTCCTCTGACATCTACTATTAGGAAAAGTAAGATAATAAAAAGGAAAGATAGAGATTCAATAAATAAATAAATAATAAAGTATGATACATGATAAAGCGAGAAAGTAAGAAAATCTAGACAATCAAAGATAGTAAAATACATATAAACACATAGAAAAACTTGCTATCTTATATTATATAGTCATAGGACCATGTTATACATGTCACATCACGTCATAGGGTCATGCTATACATGTCATGTCACGTCACACACTCAGGTTACGTTATGGAGTCACGCTATACCTGTGGATAGGTTATGAAGCCGCGTGAGAGATTAGTTGTGTAGTTGAATGCGAAGGCGACGGGTCGACCCTTGATGGCATTGTCAATGACAGCACGGGTCCTGATGGCCGTGATGTAGTACTCTCTGCCCAGATCAATCTACGACAAAGAATCAGAATGGTAAATGAAACCTACAAAAAGAAACTGATCATCCGTGATACGCAGAAAGTGCCTCATGTTTGATTGTTATTCGTTGTTAAAGCCATACAGTAGCATATATATATCACAGTATAGAATAATGATAAAGACAGTAAAAACTATGTAACTAGCCCGTACATTCAAGAGCTAATCGTCCCCCATAGTTCTACATCATGCAGAGTTCATGTTGACACAACTAATAGTATGTGCTTGTCTTGGCAATCTATAGTTCTACTTGTATGTGGCTGTTCATAGCGCATGTTGTTGGTCGATGGCTACACAGGTAGGATGAGGTATAATCTGCTACACTCACCATTACGAATGGATTTCCACGTTCGTTCGCACACCATCCCGTGAAGCTGTCCAATCCCACTTCCTGTAATTTACAGAGACAGTAAACTGATTAGTTGATCTCTTACGTGCACAAAGAGGGGTTGTTTGTTTTACGATGTGTTTTGATATCCACCAAAATGAGATTATGTATTAACGATTTCCAACCTTTTCAATTGAATAGATTTTCTTTGAAGGTGAAACATAAGAAACATCAGAACTCGATCTCGGGGTAAACCTCCGTACAAAGTGCTCAAGTACAATACGATATGGATACGCGATATAGATAAGTTTCGGGGATTCACCATTTAGAGTCAAATCTGCTCAAATAACTGCGAGGCTATTACTATACTCACCATAGGATTGTAAGGTTCAAAGTAACTAGAGCCAATGATCTGACCGCTGGGGACATCGTCTATAATATCCCGTAACATCGGGCAAACCATCCCTACAAGCAGCCATAGTAAATCACATTACAAATCATCCTAGGATAGTAAGAAATAGAAAAAAGAGGTGATAGGGCAAAAAGCCTAATATTATAATTACAAGAACGATCAGCCAGTGTCACTCACATGTTCGACAGTCATGCTAAATCGCAAATATTCCAGCGATTCCTTCAAATGAGATCGTCATTCCCCACAGATTCATTCAAACTCCTCCAATTCCACAGCTTTTCCCCCAAATAAATGTTCTCGATGGATTATTCAAGTATCTAAGCTGCTAGCCGTGTTTGAGATGAAAGGAACGATGAGATTCGCTGACTTACTCTGCATGCAACGAGCTCGCTGTGGCAACGCTGTGTAACCGGGCTTCCTGCATTCAAACTCTACATCAGCCCCCTCCTCGTACGTCGACGCTATCTGAACGCCCCCTGGTGGGTGCCCTGGATCTACACATGATGGTCCTGAATCAGCAAAAAAACCCAGCATTAGTATATCAGCCAAAAAGAAGAGAAGGCACCTAATGTAATTACATGCCTGCCAAGTGTTGTGTGTGCGTCTGTATATATCTGTAAGTAAATGTCATCATAAAAATAGTACTCAATAAATATATAAATATTCATCTATCAGTCGACAAATATCAAAAACACTGACGTAGTTGATATATTAATTATAACTCTGTATTATAGATGACAGAATTTCACAGATAACCTACAGGTTCCCTACTGCCATCTGGTGACAGCGCAAGCATACAATCAGAACAGCCTGATGTAGACAGCAGATCGGGTGTCGAAACTGCCGCTCTTTGCAAACATTTCATATCAACCTCAACATTAAACTTTTTTTTTCATTTAAAAATTACATCCGACGACATTCCAAGATTGACGGGTTAGTCTACCTTCACAGCGGAGACTGCCGAATTCCCAAACCCCACTCTGGCCACACTGGACGGAGTCGGTTCCCAAGCTGCTCTGTCCGGCCACGTTGTACGGCTGCGGGCAGGTGAAGCGGAACGTCGATGCCACAGTTGTCTCCTGACCGCTCGACGGAAACGTGTAGATGGCGCCAGGGGAGGGCTGCGGCGTCCCACAGTCAATCACTATATCAGGAAATACGGGTCAGCATTAAGCGAGGTTATTACAGTTTTTGACTGTTTGATCACACGCCAGTTATATGCCAAGTAAGCTACATAAAAACTAGCAAGCATTAACCTATAAAGTTAGCAATGAACCGAGGAAACGTCTGGTGAGCGTGAACCTACATGCCAAGTAAGCTACGTCAAAACTACCAAGCATTAACCTATAAAGTTAGCAATGTACTAAGGAAACGTCGAGCGCGCTTGAACGTACGTGGGCACTGCGGCGGGAAGCCGGCGAGCCAGAAGAGCGGCGTCTGCGGCTGCGGCTCGTAGACGCACTCGCGGTGGCCGCTGAACGCCGTGCCTGGGCTGCGGCGCTGCGGGTTCGTGCACGTGATCGTCACGTTGTCGTACAGGCTGAGCGGCTCTCCCTCCGGCTCGATCATCACGCCGAGCTCACGCACGCTGATAAAGCCCTGACACGAGATCGCTGCAACAGCAAGGTCAAGGTCGTGGGAGCGGAGGCCAAGTAGACATGACGCTGTTATGCAAACGCATATTGAGGATGAGGATCAGAAAGACAATGAGGATGAAGATGAGGATGAGGAGGTGATCAGGATCAGAAATATAATGGGGATGAGATTGAGGATGAGGATGAGAATGAGGATGAGGATGATCTGGATGAAAATGGGTGTAAGCTTAAGGGCGAGGATGAGGATGAAGATGAAGATGGGGAATGGTGTTATATATACGTGTAAATACAGACATGATGTCCAACATGAGTTCTTTGATGGACCGTCAACATGTACTTTATGGTATGCATGGATATATTTTATGGTTTCTGTATCTTCCGGATATGGCTTTCTGGTTAAGTAGCCCACTACTGTGAATAACTTGCACACCCCCGTTGCATAGATCTAGTAGGGTGCTATAGTGCCGGTTCACATTCTCCCATCCCTGTTTTGTAACGCAATGTAAATATCTGAATACTGTGACGATACCGTCCGGATAGTTAATACAGAATGTAAATAATAATTTGGACGATATTCCAGTGAGTTATATTATGCGATCGTCCTTATAAACAAGTTTTAGTTTCTATGATATTCCGAGTTTCTTACGCTGGCAGGTAGGTGGCGCTTCATCCCACAGCCCCGTGGCGAGACAGCGCAGACGGCTAGATCCTTTCATCTCATATCCAAAGTTGCACTTAAACGCTACGACATGCTCGTAGTAGAAGTGTGGAAGTGTGGTCAACAACTGACCGTTCAGCGGACTCTCCAAACGAGGACACTCCACGGCTGCAACACAGAACATTGCGATGATCGTTAGCATAAATGCATATGTAATCACACGTCGCTTATATAGGTAACATAGCTATGTTCTTGCAGTCAGTTATGGCTTCTCATTATGTGACAATAGAAACCACTTTCGACGCCTATATACTAACATAAGAGATTCAGAAACATGTCATGCAAGCGTGTATATGTCAATCCACATATTTCAACACTGCTATACAGTGCATGCACTGTGTACATTTTTGATTATATCACTTATATTCATTGATATATAAAACGAGCATGATAAATGATGTATTACACATCGGCACACGTGTTCTGCTGTAACTCCCTAACAGCTGTAACTAGAGATATATACTATAAAAAGTACAAATAAATAATTATACACTTACGAACGCAGGTCTTGTTGAAGCGGTAGGTGTCGCCCGCTTTATGTCCGGTTTCCCCGGGCGGTAGCCGGAAGCCGCTGATGCCATTGCCGCTGTAGAGCACACGACCTGCGTCACACGAGCACTGCACTGACCCAGGTATGTTATGACACCTGTCACTGCAGCCGGCCGTGCCTAGCTGACACTCATCTACATCTGTCATCGGGAAAGAGGACGGGAAAGCAGCACTTTAGATACTAGTTCTTACTTTTAACAGATTTACGTAAAAGAACTGCGAGTTAGTTATCGACCTTGAAGAATAACGATCATTAATCTGACTCAACGTGGCTCATAGAAGACGAGAAATGACGCGTGGCAAGTGAATGCCATCACGTATGTTCTAACAACACCACAAACATTGTCTGCACATACCTCTACATGAAATCTCTCTGCAGCCGTAGATTTCCATCCGCATGCAAGGGAAGCCCTGGAATTCTTCTATGACGATCCAAATATGACGTGCTCTCACGGGAATCGGCAGCACTACGATCCTACTCTCAGGCTTCTGTGGTGTGATGCCTTCCATCACGTACACCTAAACAGTAGTGACATCACTGCGTTAGCAGGCAATGTGATGGAAAGAAGCCTATCTAAACAATAATGGACATTAAGAGTGCTATGGCATGCATTCAAGATCGACAGAAATGATCAACTCATTAGCTTTCATTGGCTGCAAAATTTAAAAAAAAATCCAAATTAATTCTGGTCTTCCGAATTCATTTCTATAACTAGCGTAATGCAAGGTCATTTTTAAAATGAATTTGCATTTCCCATTCACGCTAAAGTCTCCCTGCTCCCCATGCATGCAGGCTCGCCCCACCTCTCACGCATGCGCTCACCCCCATCCCATACATGTGCGTCACCCTCCCCTACACACGCCGGACTCCGACTTCTTCTTCCCCCCCCCCCCCCGTGTGTACATACGTTTCCCTCGGGGTCGGTGAGAGGTCGCGGCTCAGGCTGTGCGTAGACGTCGTCGCTGTAGCGTAGATGGAAGCTGCGCACGTACGCACGCGTGCCATCCAGTCTGTCAACCGGCTGCAGCTGTATGCGCCGCACCAGCGTCGGAGCTCCCAGGTCCACCTGAAACCCAGGCGAGACACCTTCACACTAACGACTCAAACGCACGACCCCTCCGTGGTGGTCTCAGTCCAGCCGCTTATGTGAAGTACAGAGATGGAACGATAGTATCGAGAGCACATGAACTAGGCGTAACACTAACATCAGTAATCATGCTCATGACTGCGTATTTCAGAAAGAGTTATCGGCTTCAGCTTTATCGGCTTTATTTCGTTTCTATGACGAACGCAAACAGATGTAATTGACAGCATCGAAGTCAATTATACATCACGTAATAAATGATTAGATTTATTTACGAATTTATTATGAATGAAAACTTTGCGGGAAGTAAGTAGTGCTGTTGATTCTTACCATAACCCAATTAGGAACACCTGGGTGTAGAATGCTGCACCAACCAGCGAGATCACTGTTCAACCTCACAGCCTGCAATGTGTAAGGAAAATGCAAACGTGAGGAAGTACGAGGTGTGTCACAGAAAGGACGCACATTTCACTTATAGGTCATAACCTCAATGTTATTATCATGAAGATGTGCTAATATGCATTGTTGTACTATGTTCAGCTCGTACAACTTGTCGGCATCAAAAACCATGTTAGCTGCAGTATAATTTGGCAGAAATGAACATTATTGGGCTTAACTAATCTAAGAATCATACCCCATAGCCATCCCACAGACACTGCTCAGTAAATCCAACGTAACCTCAGCATCACTCTATATAGTAGCCACACTGTAACTACCAGGGTAACCATGGTAACCCGACACAGTGAACTACATAGTCAACTCACCTGCTTCGGATAGAATGGCTCCTCTCCCGACACGCTTATGCGTTCGTCTGCCAGTGTCGTGTTGCTGCCGATGCCCAGTGGCACGGGCCCGCGCTCACACTGCCCACGGTGTGTGAAGCCATCGCGACACGTGCAGTAGTACGACCCCTCGGTGTTCATGCAGACTGTCTCCGATGGAACACACTCCGTGCTGCCATCCACACATTCGTTCACGTCTGTAACGAAACGCCGACGAAGAAACTTAACAACTGACCAGCACGTATTAGGGCTTAAGTATTAAGTATTTAAAACTGAGTATTGAGAGATCGTTATCAACAGATGTAGTTCATTTAGTCAATATTAAAAAAGATTATTTAGTCAGAGTATTGAGGAAGCACTTGAACACAGAGCATTAAAGAAGGATACGAAAATATTTATGAGTATTGGGAGAGATTGTTATCACAAAGTGTTAATATTAGGATTAAGACATTGGGTGCACATCGGTTTAATGAGGATTAGGACAACAGAACTCACATGGGGTCAATCAGGATTGAAACACTAACATTGCACGGGGTCAAACTAATAAGAAACAGAACAGTGATTATCTAATTATCAAACAAGCATCAGCTCTCGTTACCACGCATCTCAGTGTAAGTAAACAGAACAGTTTTCGCGTAATCTTTGCACACAGTCACACACCTATGCAGGTTGGCTGTTCAGACAGGCTCTGGTCAGACATGCAGCTGATCGACTGGTTCCCAATCAGCTGGTAACCAGGGTAACAGAACACACGCACGCTGTCACCGTAGACCAGCTGTCCATATGAGGCAAGGAAGCCATTCTTGATCTCACGGGGTGAGCCGCATATCTTTCCTAAAACCAAGGCACAATAAATTAGAAAGCAAACACGTGAAATAATTTACGGAGAATTTTTGTGGTACTTACAAATATACAGGCTTATAATCTTTTATCCGAAACCTCAGATGGGTCAGAATTTTTCAGATTTCAGAACGGTAGTGCGATACAGTACTGCATATTACAGTAGCAGGCAGTAATCTGATGCAGCGTCAGAGATGTCAACACATATTTGAAGCAATCTGTAGTTTCTGGCCATCAAATTAGTAGTTCGAGGGTCACGTAGTGACCCGAGTTTGCTAGGGGGGTCCGGCATGCCCCCCGGAAAATTTTTTGATTCTGAGATGCAATTTCCTGCATTCTGAGGGTCAAAAATGACAATAAATCGACAAAAAAATGACAATTTTTTTTTTCGACCACAGTGAAATTCGTAGTTTGATACAAAATGGTCGTAGTGGTGTAAAAGGAATAGAAATTCGTATAAAATATGGATAAATCGTAGTGGTTGGCATCTCTGCAGCGCCCAATGAGTAAACGGAGCATGAGCATTATGCAGCAAACCTCATTAATCTTCACAGTGAGTAGGATAAATAAAGACTATAAATTAAAATATTATTAGTTTATTTTCCATGCTGTGCACATAAATGACATTTCATAAAAAAGTCTTTCGGTTTTCAGAGCTTTTCGTATTTCGGAATTACAGATAAGGGATTGTGGGTATGCGCTATAAATATAAACCATAATTAACAACAAGTTATATCAACACATTTCTATTTGGCTGACTATGACGATCCCCACGGCTGAGTCTGCATAACTGAGCAGCAACCTACAGCAGTCTTCATGAAATTGCAAGCTCGCCACACCTTCACATTACCACGTACACGCCAACATATATAGTAACAGATTAGCTCAACACACGCGACAAAAACATTAGGGGCCCGTCGTCAGAAACATCATCAATAATTACGACATGAGTCTAAAATTGCAAAACTTGAATGGCTTGCAAGTGAAGTGCTGTCAAAAATATTCATAATTTATGTTACTGACAATGGTCCCACTGCCATTGATTACAGTTGAACTAGTTCTTTCAATTTGCTGTACTACATAGTAACTGAAGCCTATAGTAACTAGAGCTACACGATAACTTACGTGCGCACACTGGAGGTTCACCAGTCCATTGTCCGTTGTCCTGACACATGAGGGAAGACCGGCCGATGATGAAATGTCCTAGCGGACAGTCGTAGACAACTACTGAGCCATAGTCAGTGCCGTTACCACTGGCTAGCCGTGAAGTACCCTCGGTGAATATAGCGAGTGGGTGACAACCACGACCTGTGTGAGAAAAACACGAGGGTTAGCTGAGATCAAATGCTGCTACTGCTACTACTGCTGCTGCTGCTGGTACTGCTGCTGCTGCTGCTGCTGCTGCTGCTGCTACTACTGCTACTGCTGCTGTTGTTGTTGCTGCTGCTACTCCTGCTCCTACTGCTGCTGCAGCTGCTGCTACTACTGCTGTTGCTTGTAGTGCTGCTGCTTCTGCTACTATGGTGCTACTATTGTTGTTGCTGCTGCTGATGACGATGACGACGGCGATGCTACAGTTGCCTATACTCTCGCAGAGCTGCAGTCAACATTCATGACCTCAGCGCGTTATTAAGAAGAAGCAGAATGAGAAAAAACCTACCTATGCAGCGAGGTGGGGCTTCCCACGTTCCGTCCTCCTGGCAGTGTGTCTGCACGTAGCGCTCGCCGGAGTCGAGATAGAAGCCCTGGTAGCACTGGTAGAGTGCCGTCGCACCGTACGTCACCTTGTCAGCGACCGCAACATAGCCATTGTGTATCTGTTGCACCGGTCCGCAGTACACCGCTGCAAGCACGGACCAGACGGTCCGAACGAAAGTTAAACCCGCGTTAGCAAACATCTCTACGGAATGAACGCCTGCCTTAAAAAATCACGCTGCATATTTGCTTTCAGTGGCAGTGAACACACCTCTACAGAGCAAACTCGTGCATAAAAATAACACTTCTGGTGTTTCACTTGAGTAGCAGTTATAAAATGAAGCCATCTCTAGATACATGAGCAGACATCTGTCTATAAAGAATACTTTTGGTGTTTCCCTTGAATGACCCTTATGTAGGGATCTGAGTGTATATGAAGCAGTTCCTCCTGCTTCCCATGATCAGGGAAATGTGGAGTTTGACATGAAACTCCAGTGGACGTGTATCACATTTATAAAGCACGTGTTTGCAAGGATGTCCACGTAACATCTCTCGCAATAACAAACGGATGAGTGTCTCGGACATGGAGTACCTGTGTGTGTGTGGTGGTGTGTGTGTGTGTGTGCTGTGTGTGTGTGTGTGTAGAGTGTGGTGTGTGTGTGTGTGTGTGTGTGCGGTGGTGTGGTGTTGTGTGTGTGTGTGTGTTGTTCGGGCACCTGGACGGCTGCGCACTGCGGGCGTCTTGGGTCTGCTTCAGTGGCCGCCATCCTGGCATCCATTTCTCACCTTCTGTCTCTCCGTCAAGAAGAAGATTCAGGCTTAAGAGGCTGAGCGGAAGACAGACTGTGTAGTGTGCTACGCGCGAGATGCTCCCTGGATCAGCATAGTTCGGACCTATCGCAGGCGCGTACACAATCATGACAGAGAAACACGTAATATAATATTGTTGTAATCATGATTATATATAATATGATATACGAGGTTGCAAAGATTACGGTGGAAAAGAGTCCGGAAGTCAAATATCCTGATTTACCTGTCGGACTGCCCTGATGTGACCATATGCAGGAGTCCGTGTGATCTCCTGACATATTCTGCCATACTAACTAGTTCGTTCCGCAAGCACGCCTCGCAGAATTTACCGTATTTTGTCAGCTTAATGTCCAAAGAAAATTTGGCAGACGTGAACTGCATGAATCTTAAAAATTAAGCCACATGCGGTTATTGTTTAAATATCTTTAAAATTTTGACCTCAGACTGCAGGACTCCTCTTTTGCTGCGCGACTCGCTCTTTTTTAGGGGTAGGGAGTCCGTGTGCGACTTCCTTGCTTCAAAAGTTAATTTCGTACCCCTGAATTATATATATATATATATATATATATATATATATATACTGTAATATAATGCTAAAACACTAATATATAATGCAATAATATATAAATATATAAAATAATAAAATGTATAATATAATACAATATGGCATAATGCAATATGATATAATATAGTACATAATATATAATACAATATGATATAACGTAAATTGAACAATTGACTCACATGGCCCCAGCCACATATCCAGTGAGTTGATCATAACATTGAATTAAATTTCATTTAGTATCTAATCTTGGAAATCTTTTAATTGTGTAATGAAACATACATGTCCGTGTATGGCATTAAAAAATGTTAATATATACGTTTCCTCACCGACAGAGAAGTTGGCATTGTAGCCTATCTGGGAGCGTACAGCATTGCTGTGGAAGTGCAGGTACATGGCACCTCCACTACTTCGGATGGGAGCTGGTACGTTTGCTCCACTATAACCACTGGTATCCTCAGGAAACAGTGGCTGCCCCGACTTGTCTAGAGAGTCATATATCTGCAATGCACAATAAAATGGTTTCCTAGCAACACTCTATATGCTCCTTGGGTGTCCACAAATATTTGTAAAGAACAGAAAATGAAGCAGAAGGACAGTAAAAACAAACATATGCCATTGTAGAGCAATAAATGGAAGGGATAATTACATGACAGGCATACCAAAAATCAAACAAAACCCTAACTGTAACCTCTAATTTCTAACGCTATCCCAACCTCTACCCCTAACGGTGCACACACACTCACCTGCAAGTAGTCGCCCTGTTGCAAGTTGAAATTCTCGAAGAACAAACTAATCGGTCGTCCATCTGGGCTCTGCACTGTCCAGTAGCAGTCCACGCCTGTCGGATAGCTCTTCACTCCATACACGGGGGAGAACAGGTTTCCAGATGACGCTACTATAGTGTTGTCGCAACCTGAAGCAATCACACCCCTCACATTAATATCATCCCAAGACACATGCAGGATTACGCATAACTGTCCTGGGTTATTCAACATCCCCCTATGGAGTTACAACCTCATCACAGAATTAACAATCTATGCTTTAATCAATGATTTTATCTATGATCAAACCCAAATCGTCACATGATCTCTTTGGTGGCATCAAGAGAGTTATTAACTATGTTTATTCATTGTCTTGTTCCACGTAGTTTAGTCGTATTCTAATTCCTACACTTTCATAGCAATCTGCTTCAGCAATTCGCTTGCTTCATGCTACATAGAACAAGGAGGAGGAGGGGGAGTAGGAGGAGGAGGAGAAGGAAAAAGAAGAAAATTAAGAGGGAAAGGTCAGCTGCAAGGGAAATAACAGAGGAAAAGTGACAAGCACAGTGCGGGGTGAGCTGTGGTACGGGGGTAGGAGTCACCATGGGTGTAGCATCTGGTAACATCGTGCACGACAGGACAGTTACCGGTCTTGTAGGAGAGCCGGAAGCCTCGGTCGTTGCCCATGCCATCCGTGGAGAAGAAGAGATACAGCTGGTTCCCGCTCGAGATGACAAACTTCTGACTGCCTGTCATGTGACCACGAAGCTCCGCGAGCGACACTCCATAGGCGTCGCCACCGTCGCGTATGCGCAGATAGTCGTTAGGAGCGAGAGCCAGTTCTTGCAGCTAGTGGTTCAAAGTTTACACAAGAATATTTTAGCATTCTATTTGGTTCTGCTCTATTTACTAATCTATCTGGAAAGATTGAGAATCAAATCTATCCAATCACTGATGCAATAAGAATTATCTAAAAGATAATCACTGGTATTGAACTGCCGAAAAAAGCAACTATTTTGCGTGCACACGTGAAGAAACGTAAAAACTTGTATAGCCTAGCTAACCGACCTAGCAGCATTATCCAAGGGAGGATACGGTTATCTCGCTCAAACAAATAGGCCAAGTGCGTGGAACAATATACAACGTGGTTGAAATATTCGAGGGCAACCAAGACAGCAACAATGTTCATGTTTCTCAGCAGGGGTCTGTGAGTTCCTTCCATGATGTGGATGACTATTAGGTGGGCTGGTAGGATTGTCTTACCTCTACTGTGATGAGCTGTCCCACGGGAGCAGTAACCGTGTAGACACACTCTAATCCATGGGGGTAGTTGTTTGGGTAATTGGAAGATTCCAGAATTTGTGGCGCACTGGTCGCTTCCAGTGCCCTTTCACAGTGGAATGTCCCTATAATAAACCGCGAACAATTATTTAGCGCTGGTTTTTATTCTTTTCTTAATGGCTGAACATATATTTAGATTTTTTAGGTTAATTTTAACAAGGGGTGTCATTTTGATTATACAGATTATTATCAAGTACGAATAATAATTCATATTGAGCATTGTTAAATACATAACCACTCATGTTACCCTATATTTCATCATAATTATCTCAACAAATATGATTACACTCACAAACACAAGGAACTGAACAAGCAGCAGATTGTACATTTTCAAAAAAACAAAGACCAATAATATTACTTGGCTCTAAGCAACTACTATGTTAATTGAACTCTTGAATGAATTATTGAGCACAACAGCTGAAAGCAACCCAGAACAACATTAAAATGATAAGCTCAACATTGCCCCATCATAATTATCCTGCACAATAAGATTATAGATTACACGGTCACACATTATAACCTTCTATTGTACGATTGCAATTAACATCAATTAACGCTAATTAACCTGCTGTCCACGAGGCTGAGAAACCGGATCTCTGCACTGCCGCATCGCTACGGAACTTGACGATCATGAAGTTGTTGGGACTGAGGAAGGTCATCTCGCTGGCCCTCTGCATGCCGGACACCCGGCCGATCTCAAAGCTCTGCGACTCAGTGGGTCCCCCCGCCAGAATCGTGACCAGATCAAAGTTCTCCTCGGTGTCAAAGTTAGCAAACTATGTGCATGAGAGACAAAATTGCAGTTGTTTAGTATTCGAGACCTAAACTGGGGGAAATTTAAGAAACCCCATAGAGTAAAAACTGCACGTGCAACAGACAAATCACAATTGTTTAGTATTTTTGATACTAAAACTTGGGAAAAATCTTAAGAAAAAAATCTAGAATAAACAATGTAAAAGTACAAAATGTAACTGCACATGTGAGAGCATTAGTTGAGTATTCAAGACTAATGCTGGGGGAAACTCTGAGAGGAAATCTAAACACTAAATGAAACCGCATGTACATGAGAGAAACAAATTGCAAGTCGTGTTCAATGTTCATAAGCAAAACTAGGACAAATTGTATGCAAACCAGTAAGTATGGCCTAATAAATAGGTAGCACAGATTCATAATAGCCATCCAGTGTAGCCTCTGTAAGTATACACCACTAGAGTAACAAGGTACATGTACTAAGTAAGATTACAGATAGAGTTAGTGTGGTGGTGCATGGGTATAGGTATATGTGGGTGGATATAAAAATTTATTAACTAAACCTAAAAACAAAGTGTAACTTGTCACAACATTTTAAGATAAGATATATACAGAGTCATATCTAGTTTTAAATAACAATAAGATCATTACCCGTATACGATTTTCTGTTGGTGCAAATAAGCAAGTGATTTGTCTGGATATGCAAACAACAAATTATGAGGTAACATAGTGCAACACATTAGAATCAGTGCCCCCAACCTGAAGTCTGATCTTGGTGCCAATAGGTCCTTCAATGGTCCACTGACAGTTGCTGAGAGAAGGGTAGACAGCAGGGAAGGAAGGGGACTGAATGTCTCCTGATGTTCCAAGCATGTAGTCATTGCAGGGACCTGAAACATGCAGAAGCACAGTAAATAAGAGAAAGCTGAGCAGATTATATATACAGACGTACCGGGTTTCCTTTTACGTAGGTACCCTCGTGCACTTCCCCTCACCTCTTGCGTCTCATTCTCTGTCTTTTTCTTCCCCTCCCCTCTTTTCTCTCCCTTCTTTGCTCCTCTCCCTCTCTATCTCACACAACCACGCACGTCCACACATATCTGCACATATCTCTTGTTCACTTCCAGCCGCTCACACACACCACAGGCACTTAATTGGAACGTCTCAATAAAAAATAAAAAAGTAAATAAACACGAAATGTATTTACTACCAAAGTCTTAATGTTTCTCTACTATCTTTCACCTATAATCACCTGTAAATACCGGTCAAATGCTCATCTGCAACACACTAGGGCCTCTATATATTTATGTGTCAGTGTGCAGCAGCTAGCGTGCGCGGCGGCCAGTGTATGACAGTGTGTTGCAGATGAGCATTTGGACGGCATTTACAGGAAATTGTCGGCAATAATAGGTGAAAAAGAGTAGAGAACTTTGGTAGTAAATAGATTTCGTATTTATTTAGCATTATATTTTATTGAAACGCTCTAAGTGCCTGTGACACACACACGCACACCTATACATCCGTGCACGCTTAGATTTGATAGCATAACCCAATAATTAAAGAAGGATTCTCCCCTCCTACCTGCACACTTGTTTTCATCTGAGCCATCACCACAATCGTCATTGCCATCACAAGTCCATTCGCTGTTGATACATTTTCCATTGGTACATCGATACTGGTGGTAAGACGAACCTATGTGGTGTAAAACAATGCTTGTACCGGTAGAGTGGTGGTAGTTTACCACAGAGTTAAAAACAAAATATAGATATGCACATCATGCACCTACTCAGCACTCAACAAAAACTTTGTGAGGTCACTGTTTTATGGTGGTTTGACATACACAACACGGGCACACATAGTGACATACGATGATACGTGTGTAAAACTGTGAGGGAGCCCAGGGGCGTGTACAGGATTTGTACCAGGGGGTGGTCTAACCGTAACCCAAACTTGCAAGCACGCACGCAAAGGTGGGGTCTGGGGGGGCCTCCCAAAAAAATTATGAAATTAGACCTCCTTAGATGCGTTTTCTGCGCGAGCAGGGGGGGGGGCGGTCGGCCCCTGGACCGCCCCCCCCCCCCTGTACACGCCCTTGGAGCCCAGGTAATTGGGCCGTTAAAAATGATAGTGAATAACCACATTGCACGTACAACTGTGCATATACTCACAAAAGATATAGCTATCTCGATCGTGCCCGTTAATTATCCCTCGTCCCGAAAATAACCGATCCTTCCAATTAAAACGTAAGCCTAAGTCATCCATCAAGAACAAAGTCCAATATTTACATATACACTGTACTAAGTACGGATAAACTAAATCCACATTGTTATACCTTTGACGATGCAGGCTGAGAGTTCACAAACGAACGGGAGCAGAAGTTCGCACGTGCCAAGCTCCCAGGAAAACTTGCTATCGAGCCCAGCAATCACACACTCTCCCCTTGTCCTGTCTGGCTCCTGGTAAGTCCAGAATCCCTCATACTTCGTAAGGTTTGACCCGTCCGTCCACAGATAAACGTTTTCATCCGATGAACCTCGTGACGTCAGACCTGACGTAGATAGCGATGATATCACGCGAGACCGCGAACGAACAATGTCGGTTCCTGCAGTTGTCATTCATGATTAACTAATAACTATACCTGACATGATTGCGCGTACGATTCTAGATGCTCAATAGCACCATGGTGAAACATGACCATTGTAAAATCACCCGGGCTCGATAAAATGCGGTGGAGGGAATCGAATTTTATATCGAAAGCTGCCACTATATCGCCATTATCGGTATTCGGCGTTCGTAACAGCCGCTGTACATACCTATCCAGTATGCTTTGGCGTCACCTGGTGCCAGTGTCGTCCTTATAAACTCGTTTTCTTCGTAGCGATTTACTTTCACTAAACTAGCGCCGTAGCTACGGGTGAACGCAAACAATTAAAACTCAGAAACCATTGTAATCGCGTCAAGAACAGTGATCTTGTGCAGTGAGGGATCACCATGAAATCGCGTAAACCACTCACTGTAAAGTTAAACGCAAGCGATTCTTTCGCGCGTTTCTCGCTTTGAAACAGCTAAAAGCAAAAAGCTACAAGTGTAAACATGGAGATCAAACGAATTTAAATCGTCGAGCGTGCGTGTCGGTGTCGTTTACAATTTAAAGACGCGCAACATTTCACTTTTACTTCCTCTGCTATAGCTAGACTGGCACTTACATCAATCTCTCGCAACCCGCTAGCGACTTACCTTCGACAGGTATCGCGTGCCTTCGTCCATGACTGCTTTGATGGGAACCATCGGTAGCATCCCGAATTATATCCGTCTAGCTTACGCCATTCTGCAAGCAAACGGCAAACATTCCGCGAATCCTTTACGACAACACGGCTACTCGCTAATTTCTTATGCGTGCAGAGTTCACTTCGCTGTCAGATCCGCCAGATAGATTAGAGCGAATCAGGAAACAGAGGGCGGGTGAAATCTGTCGTAACCAAACACACACGTACACTTCGCTCGCATATAGCATAATTGCTACATGACCCAACTTTTGCATGTAATCAAGCGAAACAGCATCATAATCATCATCGACAGGAAATGGGAGATCTGACCGCAGTTCCGTCACTCTGTAGGTACAATCTCCCGGTACTTGCATGTCTTCGCTCGCCGAATGATCACCATGCAATCTCAACGCGCTCCCGCCCGAACTTGTAAATAAAGTGACTCACTCCTGACTCCAGTCAACCCCTGAAGGTAAACTAATCAGTACTGTCGGAGCAAAGATTATAAACCATATATATATATGTCACGCGAATCACGTATTCTTTCAATGGCTTCATAATCACTCTGTATGCAGCAGCGCGTACCGCGGGCATGAGAGATTCTATCTAAACACATCTAAAAAAGAGATGCATAATGCTATCTATCACGATCATGTATGGAAATGTGAATGAGTATTTACGATTACCCGATATAAATAGAATATATTATATGACGCCCGAGAGGTGTGAGGGTGTACGTGAGGGTCGTTGCTTATACGAATCTATCTTACAATTTAGGTCATCCGCGTTCCGTACGTTTCAAGCGCGCGCGTTGACGCGAGGTGTACGTGGTGGAGCGATGAGATATATACAGTGGGGTAGTTGCGGGGTGGGGCAAAGGGGGCCCCCCATTGTTGATCCAAAAGTTTTAAAAAAAATTTAAAAAAAATAAGAATTGTTCTACTAAAAAGAGAATTGTCGTAGTCAGAATGAAGGCTGTACATGTACTCAAAGTGCCTCGAATACCATCTCCTGCGATCTACATTTTCAAAATTTTCTGGGGTAGGACCCCAATACACCCCCCCTCTCCCGCTTGTGTTTCACCCCATCCTCGTGATTCTGGATCCGCCATTGAACAGTTACATATCTTGGGAGCAGAGAACAACGAACACAAGTGTCGCCTTTTCACATGGCGCCCAAAACAAAGATTGCAGAGCTGAGAGATGTGGGAGCATAGCGTGTGGAGAGGGAGGCGGAGGAACCATTAAAATATTAAGTCATCCACTATTTTGCGCAGTTCGCTGTTTTTGCCCCCCCCCCCGTTAAAAAAATCCTGGCTACGCCACTGGATATATATCGTGTACGATTGATTTGTCAAGTTATTCCAACCATGTGTAGGTTTGCAAACTAACCACTAAAATTTTCACAAACCGCATAAAATTATATTCCAAATCAAAAACAAATACAAGTATATATAATACCTGCGCTTCCTCCGCATACGCGAGGCGGAGTTGTATAGGGATGAACCCATGAGATCGCTACAAAGCGAGTTGAGGGGCATGCACGCATTACATGCGCCGTGCTATTGTGTGCGCCTGACGAGATAGCATGCAGCGTCGAAATGGGCTACTAAGCACAGGAATTGGGATTGGGTGCAATATAACGCGGCTGTGTATGGGTGGGTGGATGAGGGCTGGCCGGGTCACGCAGCATATATCCTGCCCGCTCTCGCCACTCGTCGAATATATGCCAAACGACTGCTTACTCATCGTAAAACACAAAAGGCGAGGTTCGTTCAACCACGTACGTATAGTTCAACCATCCCGTCAGGGGGAGTGAACGTAGGAGCACTTGCTTACTTTGAAGTGAGGCCGAGAGAGAGAGGGTGGGCGATACACGACATAGATAAGATGGCACACAGTGGTTCTATTTCCACAAATGCTGATTCACAATTGTAGATCTGCCTATACTATATATAGCCAGGCGGTTAATTACACAGAGCGACAGCTAGGACATAATAAACCTCGTATTTCTTGGAATTACGTCATATGGATTTGCATTTCATTGCGTGAAATCAATTTAATTTGGAGATGAATCCAATACGATCACTGATGAGCGATAGTTTCAACATCCGATGTGCAGTGTCTCTAACTCTCGCTATTGGATTTACCTCGAAATTAAATTATTCCACGTAAATCCTTATTTTTGTATTAACAAAACTCGCAGCGCAACTATCAACAAATCAACAACCCGACGTGTTTTTTTCTAATTCGATCACAAATAGAGATGCACGCATAATATTACTGCGACGAATGCGTGCATAGATTCTTTCCATAGAGCCTTCAACACGTGTCCTGCACCAGACGTACCTATACATACCTTACCTGTAGTGTGAGCCTGACAGCTGAATAGACATGCAAACACCACTATTATAGACATTTGAAACCCAGTGCGGACACTGGAGCCCCCATGCACCCTCCCCATTTTTTTCGATGTGCGAATACAGACAGATCTCCTGGCCCAGTTTTTCCACCATGGTCAGAGAATGCATGTTTGTCTTAGCTAATGATAGCTGTTGTCGGGAGTAGTCGCGTATGTGTATTTCTCTGTCTCTGCACTACCTATGCTATAGTGACCCTGCTTATATAGTTAACCACATACTGCCTGGCATGGTTAGTGGTTACTATATACGGTAACTACGTATATAGTTACCATATAGTAACTATTACCCATGCCATGAATCCAGTTATCCCCATCTGCGGTCCGTGCTCAATGTCACTGCCACGCCCAAGGCCAACCTGTGTAATATCAGGATGGTAATATGCATCTCCAATCACAATAATAATAATATCAGGAGTGTATTGATACACTCCTGATAATATTGCAGCAGTTATAACCATGTCGCCTGGTCCGTGCACTGACACAGGATATAGTGATTAACATAACAATTGGCAGATATTTCCTATGATGGGCTAACAAAGCTAATACGTTAATTGTTCACCATCTGGTTAGGGTTGAGATTAGGGCATCGGGATTTTGGTTGTGAGCGGTCCACCTAACCTTACTTCTTACCATAGCCCGACCGGCTGCGAGACCAATTATTGTCAAGACACATGCATGGTCTCCAACCATGTCTTGTGTAACCTCGCAGTCGCCGACTGTTTCTTTGAGTTAAATTAACCGCAACACCGTCCCTATACTTAATCACTCTAGCCTAAACAGTAACTAACTAAACGACAACTATACTTATGGTCTAACCCCAACATTAACCCTAACCATAACCATAACCTTCATCTGAACTGCAACACCGCTTAAGCCCAATTTTTTCATAAATAATAACTCTAACCCTTATCAGGACCTAACCTTCACCTTTACATAAACTCCAATCCTGACATACCCCTAACCCTTACACTAATCCTAATCATGACCTATCCCTAACACTTACATTTATCCTAATCATGACCTAACTCTAACCCTAACACTAACTCTAACCCTAACCCTAAACCTAACCCTTACATTAATCCTAATCATGACCTAACCCTAACCCTTATCCTAACCCTAATCCTAACCCTTACATTATTCCTAATCATAACCTAGCTATCCCTAACCCTTACATTAATCCTAATCATGACCTAACCCTAACACTTACATTGATCCTAATCATGACCTATCTCTAACCCTAACATTAGAGTCATTAGACCCATAACCTTGATATCAACGCCACGCTGCACAATACGTTCGTCCTGCAGGGCCATCGTACATACCATATACACAGGCTCACTATCTTCACTGTCTTCAACGCTACGTACGTACTCGTTACAGACACTAGGATCGTATCTTCTCCGCCCTACTACGTACGAACTTTCACTTATTATACAGTGTATGGCGATTGGCAAGGACTTAATGAGGAAGAACTGGTTTCGTGCACGTACTGCATGCCCTAGGCGAATAGTTTCTCTCCTCATATTTATGCGAGCGCACAAACTTGTCCTGAGATAATGCTGCGAGAATGGGCGGTTTTGGTATATGCATCCTGTGCTTTTATATCATAATATTATAGACAATATATATATATTATACTATATACTATATATAGAGAGAGAGAGAAAAGGACGGAGCAGAGAAAATGAGAGAAGAGCAAAGAGGTAGGGCTGGGGCGAGAAGAGAAGAGAAGTGAGAGACGAGAGAGAGAGAAATACGAGAAGAGAGAGGAGAGATAGAGAGAGCAGAGATGAGAGAGATTAGAGAGAGAGAGAGAGAGAGTAGGAGAACGTGGAGAGAGAGAGATGAGGACTGAGCAGAGAGAATGAGAGAGCAGAGAGAGAGAGAGAGCAGAGCACTGAGAGGAGAGAGAGAGAGAGAGAGAGAGAGAGAGAGAGAAGAGAGAGAGAGAGAGAGAGAGAGAGGAGGAGAGACGCAGGACGAGAGAGCAGAGAGAGAGCACGAGGCATGAGAGAGAGAGAGAGAGAGGAGAGAGGTGGGGTTTGGTGATGATGGCATGGAACGATGGATGGATGGCATGGATGATGGGCATGGATGGAATGGTATGGAATGGAATGGATGGATGGATGGTGGATGGCATGGATGGCATGGATGGATGGAGGATGGATGGTGGAATGGATGGATGGATGGATGATGGGATGAGTGAATGATGGATGGATGGTTATGGAGGTGGATGGAGGATAGGATGGATGCGATGGATGGATGATGGGCATGGAATGTGTGATGGATGGATGAGAATGGATGGATGGCATGGTGGATGGATAGATGGAATGGTCATGGAGTTGGTATGGAGATGGAATGGAATGGCGATGACTGGAATGGATGGCATGAGATGGATGGATGGATGGATGATGGGCTATGGATGGATGCGATGGATGGATGGATGATGGATGGATGGTATGGAGATGGATGGATGGATGGATAGATGGATAGATGGATGGAATGGATAGGAATGGCATGGCAATGGTATGGGATGATGGGGATGGTATGGATGAATGGAATGGATGGTGGATGATGGATGATGGAATGGATGGCATGCGATGGAATGGATAATGGAATGGAATGGGATGATGCGATGGATGGATGGATTGGATGGCCATTAGATGGAATGGAATGGATGGCATGGCATGGATGGAATGGATGGATGGAATGGAATGGATGGATGTGGATCGATGGGATGGATGAATGGATGAGATGATGGCTATGGAATGCTGGATGGATGAATGGATGATGGGAATGGACTTGATGGAATGATGGATGGACATGGAATGGATGGTGCATGGATATGGATGGATGGTCATGGCCATGGATGGACGATGGCATGGAGAGATAGATTAGATAAGTAGATAGATAGCATAGGATAGATAGATAGATAGATAGATAAGATAGATAGATAAATAGAATAGCATACGATAGATAGAGTAGATAGTAGATAAATCAGATAATAGATAGATAGCATAGATAGATAGATAGATAAGACTAGTAATCAGATCGGATCCGACTCGATCGAGTCGATTCGCATCGATCGAATCGATCGTATGAGATGGATGGATGGATGGAGTGGATGGTACATGGATGGATGGATGGATGGATGGATGATGCATGGATGGATAGATAGTAAATGATAGATAGATAGATAGATAGCATAGATAGATAGAATATGATAAGTAGCATAGATAGATAGTATAGATAGGCTAGATAGAATTAGATAGATAGATAGAGTAGACTGATGATAGATAGAATAGATAGACTAGATTAATAGTAGATGTAGATAGCTAATAGGAAACAGCGAGAGAGAAGACGTAGAGAGTGAGGTGAGGATGGGCGAGACAGGGCGGGAGATAGGGCGGGAGGCATTAAGAGGGCGGCAGAGCGGCGCAGCAATAGCGAGAAGGTAGTGGGAATCGACAGAAGTGTGCAGAAGTGCGAGGCGAAGCTGGGCAGCAGTATGAGTCGTGTAAGGCACGAACGCAATACGAAGAAGAGCTAAGTAAAAAGGTTGATGCTATCGGTGAGTAAACATACAGAAGCAGTACCGATAATACGTTTCTCCCGTTTTTTCTGTTCAATGACCTCCTACGATGCAACACACTAATGCAGCGTGACCTGGCAAAATGGAATAGTGTGTAAAAACTCTGTCTTCCCGGATCACGGTGCATGCATGTAGTTAACACACATAATAGTCTACAGGGCGGAACATTCTGTTATAAACGAGAAACATGTTAATTTATCCGCAAGGAGGTAAATACATCTAGCATTAATTTACTTTTAAAATCGATTCAACTATCGCGATATATATTATACAAGAGCGATAATACCTGAGTGTACAAACGGAAAACACGGAACATGTGCTATTCACAGATCAGATTGATTTACTTTGCTGGAGTCTAGAATAATTTCATGGCTATTGCATTAGCCGAAATTCCTTGCTCTCTGACACAAAGACCAACCGCTTGTCAATACCGATATCTGCTGAGGGCTGAGATATCGGCTCCTAAACCTCCCCTCTCACATGCCAAACGCCGCCTCGTGATCGCACGTTCTGCACCATCCTACACGCGGGTAGACATTTTGGCTATCGGTTTCCTCACACTTGGCGAGCGCTGATAATGTGAATTATATGACCCCAATTTGGTACTCGTGTTACTACACTGAGCTAACTGAGGCTGCGTTGTTTTAAAAACTTGATGGACGCCGGCTCCATCAAGGACGGGCATTAAGCGTTGCTAGAGAAGATAATGGAAGATAAGGGCATAGGCGATGCCCCCGAATGTCACCGTATGATAACCGAAGCACGTCCCATTGATAAATTTCATAACCGGAAATAACCCGAACTTTCAGACTCAAACGCTTAGCGCGATGTAGGCATGGTGCAGAAGTGGAGTATACGAGGGGCGTTTGGCATTGGGAGTCGGAGGTTCTAAGGAGCCGAATCTTCCGCCTATAGAGGTATTCGTATTGATCAAGCGGTTGGTTTGTTTTTAGAGAGAGCAAAAGAATTGCTGCTTTATGCAAGTTACCATGAAATTATTCTAGACTCGCAGGCAAGTTAGCTAGAATAATGTAGTTCGTGAATAGCATATCTTTCCAGGTTTTTTCCGGGTTGCTGACAACTCTAGGTATTATCCGCTCTCTGATATATTAATATAAACGTATATAATTATTTATATATTAGTATAGCAAGTCGAGAGAGAGAGAGCAGACAGGGGAGAGAAGAGGAGAGAGAGAGAGAGAGAGAGAGAGAGAGCGAAGGAGAGAGAGAAATCCTTCAGATTCTAAATTCTAAAAGCGTTGCATCGCAGATATTATACGTATAGAAATACACGAAACAACGAAGTTTGTTCGCTCAAGCTGTGCACGTGACAATCGACGCTAAGTGGGGGTCCAGTTCTATGATGAAAGAGGTAAATCGTATCTTTAAATCTTCGCGTTTATACATAAGGAAGCGTTATAGAGCATATCCGCATTATGATGATTCCACTCAGACTCCGCCGTAGACTGTCCTGCACGATCTTCGCCACACAATGCTCGCACACGTGTAACGCAAATACAACAGCGGCTGTTCACATTCCTATATACAGTTGTGTACACTACCGTAAACTGGAGCGAGTAATTCGTAAAATCGGCGTTACTTTCCCCCGTGCCGTGCTCGGAGTTGTTATTTCGGTTGTTCAAGTGTATACATATGTGCGTTCGTAGCGTGAAACACGCAAAACGCACGTAATTTCACGTTACGTAAGTCCGCGTGACACACATACCTTTTAAACCGCAAATCAAGTCAAATTTTGACAAATTAGGTTTGTTTTAGATGCTAATTACATAATTACAGAATTAATTTGTATCACTGGATAGATTGTGTATGGATTATAAGGTTACATAAGTAACATGAAAGATTTCTACTAATTATAAAATTACAGTCAGTCTTTCTTATTATTCGTTAGTAATCATTATGACAGCCGAGGAAATTAATGGATTATCACAAGATTAAAATAGTACGTACCTTGTGGGCATTTAAATTGGAACATCTCAGCATCCTGAAAATAAATATTTAAAAAAATCAGTGTTACTCGCGATTATAGATCTACATCTACATCGCCCAGTGCTTACAATAGACGGGAAAATTTAAATTGAACATAATTGCGTAAATTATATCATCACAGTGACTGAGTCACGATGACAACTAGGAGATTTATACTCATTTCACATGCGCTGCTTTTTGTCGTACATGTAAGCGTGGAATGGTGCGGGTCGTGATTGGATCAGTTATTCAGTAAACTAAGTTATCATATTCAGTAAACCAGGTTGACGAGGTGACGCGGGGAATAGGACGTGTGTAACCTTGCAGGAGCCGCACTATTCTGCCCCGTAACGGTACGATAGTCGTGTCCGACCGGTTATATGATTCACAACGACAGGTAAAATCGTAGCTAAGCGGGAAAAGGGGTTATACACACACCTGCGCGCACTTACGTACGCACGTACGCGTAGTTTTATCGCTTCGGTTGATAGTTACTGAAGTGATGCCTGTAACTCTTTCTCATTTTGCCGTTTGATTGGATAGTATAGTTATGTTCCTAACTGTACCTAGTTTTTGGCACACGAACGCGACGACAGATCTATTGAGATTCGAACATTCAGTCTGATTGTAATACGAACACGATTGGTGGTGCAACTTTCCGTGTCTCGGCAGACTGACGGGATCTCTCGTTACGTCAGAGTCTGCGCGCACTTCAACGGCGTCTGGTGAGCGGAAATTCGGTTTACGCATACCAACATCCCCATGCATCCACATTCCCTAAGCTGTCTCTTCGCGAGAAAACGTGTTATTGTGCGTGAAATGATGACGTCTGTGTATTGTATAATATAGCCACTGGCGTGGAAGTCTTGGATATTTGCCAACAAGTCGGCCTTGAATGAATCATGATCATGATTGTGCATCCCATAATGTATACGCGATGATGTGATATATATGCATATAATGAGATATATATGAGATATATATGAGATATATGATATATATATATATATATGAGATATATATGAGATATATGCATATAATGCATATATGAGTAATGGTAGGGAGAAAGTTGAAGGATGTTGAAGGGAGATGTATAGAGATGTATGCAGTGAATCTCCATGCACGCTGACTACTTTACGTCGCCAAAAGAAAGTCAACGGAAACGGAAACGGCCCGACGTGTCGAAACTGCGAGAATGTCCGATGAAATCACCACAAGGGGAAAACTAAACCTGTATAGATAGATGTTGTCTATGGGAATCAAATCTCTGATGCGGGTCTCATATCTAGCTACAAAATATGTAATACGACTTATCCGTGGGGTATTACATGAGCAAGTAAACCGTTCACGACGGTTATTTACTGCCGTTGCAGTGATATTAATATTTCTGTGAAGGTGGTGTAGCCAAGTCTTAGAACTTAAATACGTACGGTATCCAGGGAAATATATGCGACACTAGTATTTCGTAAAACGCAAATTATAGATTGTATGTTCGGAGCCAATGAGTATTACGCTGGTCAATTGCTGCAGTGCACCAGAAGATATTCAAACTCTACATATAAATACTTATAGATTAAATATTGTCGATTACGGTCACATGTTAGATACAATGGTGCAATTCAACACATGAAAAGGTAGGAACCCTGCCCTTGTGTTTGGTTGCATTGATGTGTCTAATAGTCATGTCTACGATACCCTAACGAGGTACAGTTCTAGAGAAACTTATAATATTTATGTCTAAGCATGAATACGCCCGTCCATATGTACTGTAAGCGGGCAAATCCCACAGTGAGCCAGGGAAAGTGATGGCGATGCGGGAAAGCAATCGGTGTCAGGGGAATGTCATAAGAGGCTGCGAGCGGACTCCAGATCAAAGAGAGCCGTAACTCTAGATGGCGCAGTCGAGCTGGAAGGCCGGTCATGAATCCCCGACTCCTTGCGGATTGTGACAGGCGGCGGCCGCACACGTGCTGACCTATAGATGACGGTGCTGACCAATAGATGACTGTGGTGACAACATGGTCAGAATCGACCATGGAGTCACGCCAAGTGCGCACCGCGCATCCCGCCACCATATTAGGTAGCGGGAGATAGCAGTAGGAATCTGCACTTTGTCGTGTTCGGGAGGGCCGGTTGATCAGAATTGGGAGCTAAAGAAGATCTGTGACGTAAGGGAAGAAACGCGATCGCGGGACTGGGGCGCGGCGTATATAAGGGGGAAGCCATCGCTCCTCGGGGCTCTTAGTTCGAGGCGCCCGCTGAGAAAGTCGAGCTTGAGTATTCCTTTGAAAAACAACGCAAAAAGGAGAGGAGGAAGAAGACGAATCTATCGTGTATGATGCACGCGCCGAAAACTAAGTAAGGACAACGCAAGAGGGGGAAGAAGATGGCGAAGAAGAAGAAGAAGAGGAGGAGGAACACGAAGAGAAGAAGAAGCGAGAAGAAGAAGAGCAGAGAAGAAAATAAGAGATGAAGAGAAGAGAAGAGAAGAAGAGAAGAAGATTGTGACATTCGTTATGCAGATTTTCGCCAGCTACACGCAAGGAATGACAGAAAGCAGCTGATGCTGGACAGCGGCAATATAGGCAGTAATCCGCTGAAAAGACCACAAACGATCAAGAAGAAAGTTCGAGGCGGGTGAGTAAAACAAATTCTTGTGTCGGCATAAATAGATTAGTAGATGCGTATTAAACTAGCTTTGAAAGGTACGAGCGTATTACTTAGCGAGATATTCAAGCACTTTTCTCCACCTATAACTACCGCCACTCCCCACCACCTATATATACCACCCACCCTTCACCACCCTCTACATCCTATTATTTTATTACGTTAGCCATGACTGATTTACCTATAGAGACGATGGCAACGATAGGCCCGGGACCCGCCCGGAACCCGCGTTAAGAGTATGTGAGGTAAATGGAGCACAGGTAGATTACAGGCGTTAGCGGAACTACGAGATTACCTGAGAGGGTAATCGTTCTGTTTAGGTGTCACGGTATAAGTATGACTCGGAGGATAGCACAGAGGAAATGTACCCCTAGAGCCAAAACATACACAACCACCTTACCTTCCTGATCCATTATTCCTATTGTATACCAAAAAGTGCATATTATACAGTCTCGAAGCTCACACCCTGCGAGGTACGCAAGCATTTTGCCGATATACGATTTGTTTCAACAGCCTGCACGGGATGTGTTATTATTCCTCGTGTATTGTAGTATTATTTGGTGTAATCTTTGCGTGAAACGTTATGTAGAAATTTGTCATCGTTTTTTTGTCGTAACGGTACGTTTACACTATATTGTCGGACTGCTAAACACATTCTTCAATTAGAGTTTGATATAGGCCTTAAACATCTAATCGAAAATATGAAATCAGTTTTGCGTTTTTTTTGTTGGCTGTATGATGTGTGGAATGACAAAGGTTGTCAGGTCCAGCATCGGTGCTCTTAACTGACGATTATGAAGCGGAGCAAGCGGAGCCTCGAGCGTATGTTAAAAGTGGTTTCCGGTATACGTATTCCGGCTAATAACGTATTCGGTAATTACGTATTCGGTAATACCGTATACCGTAATGCGTGTCGGTACGCCGCAATAATTGTTGGTATTGTAGGCTATTGTAGGTTTTATAGGAACGACACACGTAACGTTTACAGGCATAAAAAGAAGCAAGGATTGAGAGTAATTTCGGCAGCGATATCAAAAATGTTTTACTGGCTAAATGGTGTTGAAGTTCTGACTCGTATGGTGATCGAACTTTATCGTTCACTTGTTTTGCTAGAGTAATAATAAGTGGCGAGGTTGAAATCGAAAGCTAAATTGAGGAGAATAGAATAAATAAATTAAATGTTGTTCGTACCGGTAACGATCGACTAACGAAATGTTTTTGTAGCAGCGTACCTATACGGGAATATAGGAGAATTCTCCTGTTGTGAAGAGCTTCCAGATACGCTAACCACGATATTTTACATGACTTTGTCCTGGCGGCGGGATATTTATTTGCAAGTAAGGCGCGTTAATATTATCGTTCGGTTTTTAGGGCAGCCAACCTATACGATGATAGTAGCAACGGCCTTTTTTTCGAGACTGCCAGTCGATTTTCGTTCATTATATAGGTGGAGTTGCGCTTGTTCGACTAGCAGTCACCAATCGATGTCCTCCCAGGGCCGGCGAAAATCTTTCTTTTCTATTGACAGCAGCCAGGGGGTTGGCGCAACGTGAAGCGATGGGTGCATCGTTCTCGGTAGGAGGGAGGGGAATTGTAAGCAGGGCAAAGTCCCATCAGTGAGCCAGGGAAGAGTGGATGAGCGATGGCGGGAAAGCAATCGGGTGTCAGCCATCGTCATAAGAGGCTGCGAGGCGGACTCCAGATCAAAGAGAGGCCACCAGCAGTACCACTTGTAAACTCCACTCTAGACTGGCGCGTCGAGGCTGGAAGGCCGGTCATCGAATCCCCACTCCTTGCGGATTGTGACAGGGCGGCCCAGGCGGCGGCCGCAGAGATGTTGAGCAGATGATCTAATGACACCATGGCCCAGAATCGGACGTAGTCGAGTCCGAGCAAAGGGGAAATACGCACGCCGAGCCTCTTACTTGGCGGGTGAGGTGTAATAAACGGCGGCAGTCCTTGCGGAGGCTACACCAAGCACCTTAGTTTAGGTGTGGGACCAGGCCGTTGTGGCCAAAAAGGGAGCTAACACGAAAGCGTGGACGTTTAGGAAGAGGAACGCCGTAGCAAATAGGTGAGCAGCAGCCTCTCCTCCGTGGCTCTTGTGTACAAGAACACCCGCGGGAAAAAGGTGTAAGTGCTGCGTGATACTGGTTACTATGGCATTATACACGCCTCTTTCTAAATCGGTAGCACACTGATGAACGTTATGTATCGTATTAGAGATTTAGTAAAACCCTAGATGATATAGTTTACTTCTTGTCTTGTCTTATCTCTCTAGTCTATTACAGACCTTCCACGTCGGTAGTGCAAACTACACGCCTACAGTAGCGATTAAATTCATGAGCA